TTCAAGAATGCGTGATCTCCTCGCTGTTATTATTGGACGGACCAATCAGCATGTTAGCTGTTGACGCTAGGCCGTCAGCCGCGCGCGCGCTTACACTTTCGACAAGATCCTTACGTATAAGTCGAGTTCTAGGAACAGCACCCCAGCCTCCCCCACGGGTTTTGAGGCGAATGACTCAATCGAAATATTTTCGTCTTCCTAGAGAAGTTTGAGTTCTCTGTCTCTCCGATCGCACCTCTTATCAGAAAGAGGATCCCGACTCATCGCTGGCATTTGAAGCGATCCGCAGAAAAATATATTCTACCTCTAAGAACTCAGTGCACGGGGCCGAATGCTAGGGAAAAAGGATCAATGGGGAACGACCTCACTTCGCAAATAACCTCAGATTCGTACAGGGAGTCAATCAGGATCAAATCCCTCCGTGAATCCTAACCCGCGGGAACGGCGGAAATCTGTTCAGGTCACGGATGTCATAGAAGAGACGGTTTGGAGGCTCAAATCCAAGCACATTGTCCCAAGTCTCAGCTCCTGAATGGTCTACGCGCTTCCAAGCCTGATTTTCGAAAATGAAGACTCATAAATCACATATGACCCCGTCGTCGACGTCACGGGGCTCGTGTATTCACTAGAAGGGCCGGCAGAGCTTTGAGTTATTATTTTTTATAGAACAACTGCCCATCAAGCACAGGTGGTGTTTGTTGGCGCCGCTCGAGGACATTGGGCGCTCTAAAGCGCAGTCACTGTCGTGTGTACGTTCGACGTGGCTGCCCATGTTCTCAACATCAGCGACATCAACAGAGGAGGAGGAGAATAAAAACAAGCTCATTTATCATCAGTCGAGAACGCCAACAACAACTTGGAACAAATGAAGAGATCCCCAGCATGTGTTAGATCTGTGTAGAGGCGACGGGGTCCCTCGCGAGAGTCGCCTCGGACTTCATGCAGCTTGGATGCATTCCCTTCAAGAGGAGCTGAACTCCACCCTATGGCTCTTACTCGGTCGAAATGCTCACGACCAGAAATTATTCTCGTGTTCGAGCATCGCTCGACTTTCATTTGTTCTATTTTTCAGCTCAGGACCTTTGTTAGGGATCGGTGATCCTGCTGGAATCGCACGCAGATTCCTGTCGCTGCTGGGTGGAAGGATAATTTGCGTTCTCTTGGCGCCACACTAGAAGGGCTCTCCCGGAGCTCGGGAGATCAAAACCGTGGCTTTCACAGCGCCAACCCTCAATGAACCCCATTCATATCCGGCCACACGCACACCCATCGGCCAGTGAATGGGACGCGTAGGTATTCCCTGAAATGTCCGCCCTGAGGATTCCGCCCACTTACCGAGAGCCTTCAGTTCCACCTGGCCTAGCTCTGAGAGCTCGGTCTCTAATTACATCATTAGTCTCGTGAAAGGACAGTCGTGAAGAAATGATTCACCGAGTAGAATCGGAGCGTTCGCATTACCTCGCCGAATAATAGTTTCGGATAATCAGGGATGAATCTCCGGGCCACGAAAGTCTTTTGAACTCCGGAATCGTCCGCATGGGGAAGCGGCCGTCTCACTGCATGGCAACGTTCAGGACAGAGACCGGCGACGATAGACATCCGTCTGAAAAGTTCCACGAAACCTTCCCCTACGGACGGAAGGAAGTGGGTGTTGCGCCCAACGGTCTCCTTTCTGTATTAGATAGATGAAGACGTCAATCTTGAACGCGGCACGGCTGTAACGAAGATGAAAGGCCCGAACCGAGCGGAACGTATTCTGTTTGAACTCTGATTGAACTCAAGCCAACTGAGTGAAATAAGGGGGCGAATCCAGCTGCCTGTGTCCCGGTCGCTGCTTGTTACTTCGGCGACGTCGGACACGATCGCTTTTCGATCACGAAATCATAGTCCGTCTGAACTCAGGTTCCGTGAGTATGAAGGCGGTTCCCCGAGGAAAGTTCGCCGTCCATTCTCGACCCTGACGGCTTGCTGAGATTTCGCCGTATGTCTTCGAGTCGTAGGAGACACGCGCTCGATGAATTAATCCGACGCGGGTATTTTTCTTTCGGAGATGCATCGCCAGCCTCCGGTTCCTCAGTCGATTGGAGACGGAGGGCGCAGACTTAGGTTGACGACGGAGCACGACAGCGCAAGATCGACTGCTAAGAAAACGTAAGATCAATGATCTCTTGTAGCGGCGGCAAACGGTAACAGCCGCGAAAGCAGCAAACCCCGCCGACAGAACGTGGAATTGAAGTTTTCGACAGACGAGTAACATCTATCTTCACCTGATACATTTCGGCTACAGAAGAGGAAAGCCCATGGAACAAAGTTTGAAACAGAGCGAACACTCAGGTCTGAGCGAGCCAACGATAGATAGACTTAGGAAACTTGCTTTGCTTTTATAGTGGTGGAGAGCTTTCGCTAGCGGCCGGCCTGAGCTTCTTGTTCGTTAAATAAGCCGTCAACGGCGTGGCGCAGCCAGCACAGCAGATATGAAAAATGACTCTTGAAATTACCTCCGAGTCTAGAACAGATGCATTCTGAGGATGGCGGGAGGGTAGCAAGTCATTCGGCGAGAGGAAAGGATTCGTGGGGGTTCAGGCCGACAGAATAGGTACAAGCTCAGCTGAGAAGGTTTCTCAATTAGTCGCTTTGGCTCGTTGCCTAGTTCCTGAACAATATCTGATCAAAGCTCCAGTTTCCTCTTGCCATTTCTTCTACTCTGTGCTGCGGACGGAGTCTGGGTGAAAATCACCCAGTAACGAGATTTTCCCGACTTAGTGAGTTCCGCTCTCGGATGCTGGCAAGTATTTCCTGCGGGACACGATTTGGCGGAATGTGACACGAGCTCGGGTTTGTGATGATGATGGAGCGCAATGATCAATATCATCGTTCTGCCTCCGTTCACTCAGCAAACTCGGTGAACTGTCCAATCTAGAGGGGGGCGAAGCGCAGATACTCCACGCCGGGATCAATGGTATTCTCCGACTCGGATCGACGGCTACATTCGGCGTCCAGTAAGGAAATCTAATCTCGAACCCACGCTTCAGGAGATCATATTCAGTGAACAGTCATTCTCTCGCCGCCTTCACAGGAGTGGCGTCCCCCTCGACGGCGATAACGACCAGAACGAGATCCTAGCAGAATATGTTGCGATATCCCTCTGAGAGCGAAGAATGAAGTGAGTAGACAGGTCACCGAGATCATGAATGAAGGTCACCTCTTGGGTCGAAGGAGCCTGAACTAGAAAGGACCCCGACCTCATGAGCTCCCCGCGACTATTTGCATGTCAGAATCAAGGTGAGCAGCCACACTATTACCTACGGCTCCGAAAGGAGTCTGAGTAGGTAAATGAGATTCTATGATTCTCCTGCAACCCAACTCGAGCAAAGAGAACCGGGGGAAATCACAGATTGCTATCGGTTCGGTCGGAAATACTCGTCGGATTCTCCGGCTACGTTCTCGTGAGGGAAATTCTTGATCTTCCTCTGCCTATCGCTTGCCTGCGGGGCTCCCTGTGCTCGTCTCCGGAGAGCTAAATTCTGTCAGGAACATCTGGGATAACTATTATTTTCTCTCAGCGAAAAAAGACTTATCCTAATTGGTTCGCTTCCTTCGGGAGTGAAACGCCTAGAGCTTCGAATCTGAGAAAGTTCACCATGGATCTATCCCAGAGTTGAGGTCAAGGCTTATTCTGGGGGAGCTCTCGAATTCGACTACTGTAGGGCATTTTGACCAGCGCTCTCTGAAGCGAACATATCAGCTCTCCGATAGGGGGGAAAGCCCTCCAGCAGTCCAGCATGCCCTCAGGATTCAATCGCCGGGGGACCCGGAAGCAACGGGATCGATTAAGGGCTCCCCGGAATTCTATGCGGAGACCCGCGCTTGGGAAATAGTGTTTTCGGTCTTGTCATCGCCGCGTATCCGTGCCCTCAGGTGAAGAATCATGCATATTGTTATGGAATGCAGTCCGAGCTCGGATGTCGATCTCACCGCCGAAGGAAACATCCGCGGCGAGCCTAGTCACAGAAAATTCCATGGATCTTTTTCTGAGGCCGGAGGGACCCGAATAAGGCTTCTGCGATCCAATATCACTGGAGCGCCTTCTTGTGAGTCCGTATCCCTGTCCTGCCTCTCGGTCGCGGATAGCTTCGAAAGATAAAGAAAACAAATTAATATATATCCGAGATGGACAGCGACAAGCAGCGTCCAGCGCGGAGACAAGTCAGAAAAAATTTGAAGAATCCTTCATTTGTTCCTCGGCCGCGGATAGAAGCCTCGGGATCATTTTTAACGCGGGAACGATGGTTCGGATGCCGTCACTGCAATGCGACGACAAATAGGGGAATCTCGCTGAGATTGATGAAAGTTTTCCCGGGAATTTATGACGAGGCATCTGACGGTCGATCACGGCCGCTAGCGATGGTCGAACTTCTGCATCAGGGTTGAGTCGAAGAGAACTTGATCGAAGGCACGACATTATAGATTGATTGCGGAGCTAATATCAATGAAGAACAGATTACCTTCTGCGGAGGGCTGATAGATAGAAGCTCGGGAAACCTAGAAGCAGAATGCTTTCAGAGTCGCCCCTGGACCCAACCGGGAGTCGACTGAATGAATGGCGCGAGTCGTTACCTCATAACACTCTTTTCGCCTCCTCCATCGGAACACGGTGGTCTAATGAGTAGAATGCTCTCCGCGAAACAAGTGCTTGATTGATGGAACTCATAGTGATGGTCCGAGAAAAAAATAAGTTCGAATCAAGTCAGCCATTGATGTCCTCATCACCCTAACGGCGCGACGGTGACCGCCTCACCATGTTGAGTGTGTTAGCGACGTGTTCGGTGATGGATGATGGAAGCCACTCTCGTTCAGGCTGGCTCGTCCCGCGATTTCAGTCTCGGTTATTCCATCGACGCGACGGTAACGTTCGATTCCTACATAAATTTCCGACCGAGAGTTTCCGATGTGTTGAGCTCAAGTTTCCTTATTCGGTTCATTGAGAACAAGCCGTTCAATTCACTAAACTCATATTTATTGAACTCTGTCTTTTGGGTCAGTTATCAATGCAGCGATTGATTGATAGAATAGTGACTTCTCTTTCATTATCGTAAAGTACAGCGTAGACAATTCATAGTTATATTGTACAGGAAACGCGAGGCGGTGACACTGCTAAGCGTGCCTCACGACTCACGACGGACCGGTCGAGAGAGATGATTTATGTTGGTGTCAACAATTGAGGATGTTGATGAATCCGATGAAAATGACCATGAAAACGAAGTGCCCTATGACGCAACTTCTTCGTCCCTAAATTATTACTTCGATTCATGCAATCGATAGAGGCGGAAGCGAATGTACATTCTTTGGGAAGCTTACTCCTTCAGCCTAGACGTCAAAATAGAACTAGCTTCCCGGGTTTGACTGAGAGCACAACGAAATATTTGTATATATCAAGTCTCACACGTCGCCCTCCCTCCCGACGCTCTGATTCAAAAGGACCGAGCACGCGTTACGAACAATGGAACACTTGGGAGTTGATACAGCAAGCGCAGCGCTCGCGGATTCTCGGTCGGGTATTCTGATAGACGGACGGAAGCGAGACTTGCGAGAAACGGAGGCTGATCGCGACGAGTATCAGCCTTCCTGAGCGGCCGACTGTTGCTCCATGGTGAACAGAGCCCGCACAGTCTCCAAGGGCACTTGGATATTGCCCTGGATGAACTGCAACGCGGCCGATCCGTCCTCTTGTTGTAATAAATTCACACCGTCACTGAGGGACAATTCTCCGTTCGTGGTGCAGGTCCCTAACACTTGACCGTCTGTCAGCATGATTTGTTTCACAACATCTCCGTTCGCGTCGGTCGTTAAGGCCAAAGCAACGGCAGCGTCGCCCTCGCCGATTACAGCGGTTACGGTTGCTGTCGTCGTTTCTTCCCCCCGCATGATGGCTTGCTCGAGAGCAGCGCCTTCCTGGAGCAGAGTTTCATCTTCCTGATCGACCTGTGGATAATGGCATAAGGGATGGCGTCAGTGAAGGGTGGTAATAATCGTGGAGCGCGACCAACAAAATCAATCTGCATACCGCGGTGTCCGAGTCGCTCGAGGAGTCAAAGCACTCTTTGGACCGGACTGAATCCACGACCACTTTTAGTAAATCGCTCTCCGGAGGTCTTTCTTGTGAAATGAAGGGATTGCTCTTTGGAAATCCCCCGGAGTCGACAGGTTCGAGCTCGAAAGAAATCAAGAAGTTCGGACAAGCAGTCTCAAAGTTCCCCCAAAAATCCCACAGAAGTCCTAGCTTCGAGCTCGATTGAAAATTCGCGAAGTCAATGGAAGCTCACGCCGCGAAGAGCGGCACAGTCTCATTGAGCCGCTTGCGCAGGGCAGAAAACAATCTAGGCGAAAAAAAATCGGAAATAAATCCTTGTGATTGGTAAATACCTTGATGTCCTGTACAGCGGTCTGTTGCTGCTCGGCCGGAGCCTCCACGTGCTGCACCGAGACCGGCGTGATTGTTCCGTCTTCGTTTATAACTACGGGTTGACCGTTTTCGTCTTCGTATACTTCTCCTACGACAAGGCTGACTTCCTCATGCTCTTGATCGTTCTCTGCCTCTGACTGATTCATTTGTTGCTGCTGCTGCTGTTGTTGCAATTGCTGTTGAAGCTGCTGCTGCTGTTGTTGATGTTGCTGCTGCTGCTGCTGCTGTTGCTGTAAATGCTGCTGATGATGGTGATGGTGTACGACGGTCACACCGGATGAGGATCCAGCGTGGATCTGCTGCTGTATGTGTTGGGCGGGAGTCACGCTTGGCGGAGTCAAGATGGTAGTTCCCCGGACCGATTGGGGTGTCACTCGAGTTATAGATCCACCGCTTCGGTGAGGATTAGAATTCTGGAGAAGGGAACCTCAATAATTCTCGAGATCAACGCTGTTCGTAAAGCATCCGCAGATCATAGGGGTTCAGTCGAAAATAATTTTGTCTGCGTTGACTTGCCTTCAATAAACTAGTTCCAGGTCGCGCGCCCGCTCTCGGAGCCGCCGTGACCACTCTAAACTGCATGCGTGGCGCGCTGATGATTGCTGGCGTGAACTTCTGGGGAGTCATGGTGACATTCGAAGCGTTGGGAACGTAGCTTTTCGTGTTGCCCACCCGACGCACGATGTTGGGAGGTTGCATGATGGGATGGGAGGTCGATTTGGTAAGCGCCACTGGAATCGGAGACGAGATTGAGAGAACCTGATCGCTCCGATGGAAAGCCTTCCCCGCCCCCTCGATGGAAGCTTTCGCACAAGATCGATGATTGAAAAGGAATGTCACGACGCTACAGCGGATGCCAGATCTCTCACCTGGCGTGGGTCTGTTGTTGACGATAACGTTAGAGCTTGGGGTGGGCGCCGTCGTACTCCGAGAAGGTCCGGTCATAATCACAGATCGCACAACTTCTTTGGGTCGATGAATTATTTGCGCTTTGATAGGGCTCTTCCGCACAACGTCCCTCGGTCTACTCTGATAATTGGGTTTGACAAGGAAATCGAGTTCTGGTTCATAGGCCTCCGGGAGAACTCTGTACACGCCTGGTTTGCGGTTGCCAAGTGCGGCCGAAACCATCTCATCGATTAACTCGACCATGTCTTCGCTGTCCTCCTGTGGGCGAACAATAGAGTTCCGATTGAGAAATTTCCCGATTAAGGCGGCGGGAGGGAATCGATGCGGAAACGATCAGTAGTAGATTCGTCCAGTGAAGATTCCTCCGGATATGCCCAAATTCTTGAGAGAGGAGCACTTACTTGTTTTCCATCGGTGGGGATGAGGAAGTTTTTCCCGAGTTTCTCCGTCTGTTGAAGGAGAGTTTCGAGGTGCACGAGCATGGTGCTCACATCTGGTCTAGGTGGATCGCCTTCTTCGCTTTTGGCAAGGAGAATCTGCCACATCGTCGAGGCTTTAGCCACTCGATGCAAACAGACGTCGAGAACTTCTTTGTCGTTACATTGACGCAAGGCGTCCCTCAAGCGGTTTTTCTTACGCGACGAGACCATATCGACGTAACTCCTGCGCCTGTAGAATAGATTCGGGATGACCTTGAAAATAATTCCCCGAAAGAATTCTGATTGATGGATGTTCATTCTTTAGTCTGGCCGTGTGTCGGTCGGTGCAATGAGAGGAATATCGAGGGGACTCACACTATCTGCTTTCTTTTTTCCTTCTGCTCTTCTTCCTTCTTCTTGACCTCCTCGTCGTCTTCTTCGGGCTCAGTCTCGACGAAATCCTCGACGTTGACCGGTGGCGGTATATTGTCCGGATCCCCGTGCTGCCGATCTCTAAAGTGCTTTGATAGCCGTATCGAGGAAATGTAGGCATGGTCGCATTGAGGACATCGGTATCGTTTGGGTTTCCCGGTCAAGCTCAGATCTGTTCCAACTGAAAAGTTCAGACAGGAAAGTTCAGTACCATGTATTCGCACAAGCTGTCCAGACACAGAAGGAGTCTTCCCAGTCTGTACGGGCGCATAGGCATGGTCAGAAACTATGGAAATTGACTCACGGACAAGTTTGCGACGTTTCCGTTTCACTCCATCTTCGCCCACCTCGACTTCGATGTCGGAATAACCTCCGTCGCTGTTATCCGGCGGAGGCTCTTCGTGGAAATCTAGATGATGGATTCGTTTGTAGTCTCGCACCATGTACGAAGGCGGTCGACTTATTCGTCCGGATCGGGTTCTCGGGACCTGTTTTTTCAAGGCCTCTCGCTCTTCCTTGCTCATGCTGGATCCTTCCGGGTTGATGTCGTCGTCAAACCTGTCATCACTTTGGTCGTTATGAGGTGTATCGCTGCGGCGGCTGCAGGCGCACCCGAAATAACGGAATATGCGAAAAAAATACCTCTTCGCTGGCCGTCCTCTCCCCTTGTAGCCCTTTGGGTGCTGTTTCACGATTTTCGTGGTTTTCGTGATCCTGTTCGGTGTCGCAGCCTTGTCTTTCCTCTCCGCACCATTGGGATAAATGACTCGATAGATGATCCGGGTATTCGTGGCCGGATTGAACACCACAGCGCTTCCACCGTTTTTGATTGCTTTCGCAACTTGTTGCTGTTGCAGAACGTGCGCTATCTGCTGGAGCTGCTCCTGACTCAGAGTTTGAGTCGAGTGGTAGGTGTTTCCCTGCTGTATGATCTGCGTAATTCAACCAATTGATTAACAGCGATATTCTCAAGAAACGATCGAGGGAGCGAGATAGGGAAAAGAGCGTCGACGATTACTCTTCTCCGAATGGAGAAGATCGCCGGGAAGATTGCGAGTTTTTCTCGGCATTCACCTGGATGGGATTGTCACAACTCCCCAGAGGTGGCGTGTTCTCCTGTTGCTCGACCTTCGGAGCGGTACTCGCACCCTCTGCTTGATTTCCTTCGTTTCCATGAACTTGGGCAACCGCTTGTTCGACCAGCTCCCCCGGTGTCAATTCAGCGGGTGGATTAGCGGTCGCAGCCTCCGCATCTGCAGCAGTATCGGCTCCAGATGCCTCGAACGCCTGTTGGAGAATATCCGTCGGCTGTGCGGACGCGTTCGCCGCGGAGCCTTCTAGAGATTCCGACGATGGTTCACCGGTAGCGGCTTCCATCATCTGTTGGTCCGCTGTCGACTGGTACAGCTGATCTTCATCGTTAACTAGGTTCTCGGAAGCTGTAATACAAAGGGGATGCATGAACATTAATTTTTCGCCCGAGTTTCTTCTTACTGAGTGATGGGATGTTTGCTTCTTGATTCGCCAACCAGGAGCCCGAGAGAACTCGAGGATCTTTTTTGATTCCATTCCGAACCTTGGGTGGTGGGCTCTTGCTGCTCAGCCGAGCTGGCTGATGTTCCCGGCTGTTCTAGTTGTTGCTGCTCATCTTGCTGCAATTGTTGCTCCTGCATCGCCTGGTGCGCCGCGATGAGCCTCTCGGCCTCAGCACCGGTAGCGATAATTCGTCCGTTTTCATCAACAGCGATCATCGACGACGACTCGTCTCCCGCCGCACAGTCCGACGAGTTGCCGGCCTGAGATTCCATGGCGTCCATATCCTGTGGTCGGAACTCCTTTAGCAACTAGAGGACACTCCTCGAAACAGGCAAAACTCGCAAAGGATTCCATGAGAAAGCCTCAACTTACCCCTCCAACGTCGCTTATTTCGGGAGCCGATGAAGCGGCGGATTCTTTACCCTTGCTTTCGACATCGATTGGGGCTGAGACATCCATCGACTCATCTTGTTTATCTGTCATTTCAACATCTCCTGTTGATTCTGAACTTCGTGTAACTGTAGGGAGGAACATAAGAGGTTCAATTCGACACTCGCCTCCTACCGTCCCGGGAGGCGATCACCAACATTAACTAGCTTGAGTAAGGATCGCAATCTTCGTCGCCTGGAGGGACTGTCATCGTACCAGCTCTATGTCGACGGGAGACGGACCCTCAATTTGCCATCCGGGGGAGAAAGAGCTGACACGTAACCTCTTCGGCTGGCGCGTGACAGCTCGTATTCTTCGATCTCTCTCAAGTTCTCGAGGCTCGTGCGAGCCAAATAGACGTTCGATTCTCATTCAAGATTTTTGGCATAAGTCGAGGAACCGACGAAGCGAGCCGGATATCGGGGAGTCATTAAAAAATGTAAGCGCAATTCGAGATGTCATCGGTCATCTGACATACGGACGAAGTCGAACACCGGCGACAGCTGCTCCGCGTACTCGCGTAAGCTTCCGTGCACATAGCCACCATAGTGAACTACGATCTATGAGGTCTCGAGCGTTCCTGGATGAATAGATTTGCACATCTCATACCAACCCCATCCTACATGCTGCAAGTGTCGCGCTATGTTCGAGTTGTTCCCGTTTCAGTTGTCAATACCATTCCACTCGTGCGAACCGGCAGCAGAGTTGTATGAGAGCACCATTGCGGAAAGATGGCTTCATCGAGATTATATCGATCAATGATTCATATTTATCGACGGGATTACTCGAATGGCGACGGATCAGTTTGGCACCGAAGAGTTTGTAATCGAACACAGGGTTCTCGAATGAGAGAGTGCGATTTCGAACCCTGACAGGCCTTCCGGACGAAGAGCAAAATCCTTGCGACTAATTGCATGAGTGGGTTTTGATAAGCGATATGACAACACGTCGACGCCATAGGAAAGGGTTCCCGCACTTCTCCCAGTCCCATCAGACTCCTCTTCGTGTTTTCCAACGTATGCATTCGGCTGAGGTATTCGTTCGAGCGACCCAATTGAGAAATGTGTCCGGGAGCCAAATGAGCTTGGGCCCGCCGTCAAGTTTAAATGCGGTTTTCCTTGGAAAATCGTTTTCTTCGAGCAATTCCTACGTGATTATTGGAAATCGGATGTTGGTCGCTATGCTTGGTCTTTCCAGACCCTCGTACGAGTGAGCAAATCGACAAAAGGTCTTATGTCTCTCAAAAAAATCTTGTCAGTCGGCGGAAGCGCCCTGTGCCAGTATCCAACGGCTCCATTTCGATCAGAAAATTTGACGAGAAGCTCACTCGAATACCTGTGACAGGCTTCGTGACACTACCAGATAGCGATAACCGATTAAACTTGCCTGAATTTTGGGGCATTTTCCCAAAAATTCGACTTCTTTTCACAAAGTTAGGCCTGGCACGAAAATATAGCAGCAGCCAGACGATGTCAGCGCCACTCTCGCGTAAAGACCTCTCCGTAAACAAAGGAGCTCTCCCAGGAATCTTTGGCGCTCGATTCGAAAACTCGAGGCGGAGGAGAGCCGATGAAGCGCTGTTTTCTCAATCTAACCGCGCATTACGCAAGATCTCGCTAGGATCAAGCTCCGCTTCTCGGTCATGTCTTGAACGGTCGCTTCCGGGGTTCGTGAGGGGCTTACGCTTTCACCGGCAACTTATGATTTCACACATCTTTCTTTTCACAGAGCAGATCTATCGATCGGACTTAAGGTCCCCACTTGATTTGATTCTCACGGAGCGATGGAGAGATCCTCCAGGGGAGGCAACGGACTCTCCCAATGATCTGGCTCTTATCGAGTGCTGATAGAAAGGTTCATGTAGGGGGTGGGGGGGGGGGCATGGCAAACGCTGGAAACTGAGCACTACCGTTTTCGCCACTGCGAAATGTAGGCAAAATAAGTTTATTCCGAGAACAGGACCTACTAATATGCGTAGCTCCACAGTGGTCCCCTGATACCTGCGGGGAGGGAGTACGAATCACGGGATGATGAAAATTCGCTCGGCAGCTTCCGGTGATTCTCCTAGATTCCTATACCACGGATGGTGTCCGAGGATCTACGGTTCTTTCCGATTTTCTGATTGGCTCCACAGTTTTCAGTTAGGGTATCGACTATGAGGATGTTTATCGGGCTGCTTGTAGACCTCGAGGTTCGCGTTGACTGATTGACCGCACGTATTCATTCATAACAGCAGCTGGAACATGGATGGGAACCTGTCCTGCGCGAACCTCGGGGATATGAGGGAAGCTCAAAGTCTCCTGAAAATTCAAGCATAACATTGCAGTCACCCTAAGCTTCCGCTAAGCCTGAGATGACCAACGACTATCTGGAGATCAGTTTTACGAGGACGATGCAGGCGCGTACTGCAGGTACAGCTGCATCGGGTCCTCGCTCTTTGAATTGACTGAAAGGACGGTCGGAGAAGCTTTTCCCTTTCTTCCCGAGAATAGGACATGGAAGGGGCATCAAATGGGAACAGCGAGAGGAAACGGCTCGGTCGGGGCAACTTGATATATCTTCCAGGGGGTGCTCTCTCAGTTTCCTAGGGAGCACCCGTTCATCCGAGCCAGGGCTCCCGAAACTAATCTTGGATTGGCCACCGAACAGGCACATACGTCTGATGAATCTGACTTACTCGATATCGCAATGCTCTGATACACAAGAATCAGTTCGACACCTGAGTATACTGACGTCCGGCTCAATCCTCTAGAAATACCGATGCTCCTCCGCACTCTACTATCTAAGCCAGGGGAATGAAGACTAACTGTGGTTTATTGTGGTTGGCGGCGACTCACAGTCAACACATAGGTGAGCAAAATCATCGTGCTGTTCCCCATCATCATTCGAACCATGTGGATATTCTCCAGCTCATTCTGAGCCGAACCCATCTCCTATGTCATAAGTACTGAGGATGGGACGAGGTTGAATCCTGCACCGTTTATTAGTCGGAGAGGAGGATACCCCAGGGAACGTTCCCAGAGCCCGAGAGCTGACTCGATTCCGCTGAAGACACGTTGCGAAATACGGCGTGGTCGGTCGATACCGCGGTGAGTTGCTAAATTTGTTTACTACTCCGATTCTTCTGCTTTTGCCGTACGGTGACGGGGATTTTGATTGCAGATTGTATTACTGCTGGGAAGAAAACCGAATTGCGATTTCCCTGCGCCAGTGAACCCCTTTTCGGACTCCTAGATGTCGTTCGAGGCGATGAAAGACGGTGATATAATCACCGATGAAGTTCTTCGGTATTCAACGGATGAGGTGCTGAGTCGGTCGAGACTACTTGACACCGAAATTAAAATCATGAAGAGTGAGACGATGAGGATTTCCCATGAGCTCCAGGCTCAGAAGGAGAAAATCAAGGAAAACACTGAGAAGATCAAGGTAGGAAGCGCCTTCCTGTGCCAAGAATGCATTCGTAAAAAACGGACCCGCAATGACAGGAAGCTCGGCAAGCGTTCGCTCCCCCGAGCCCGCTCCTTTGTTGCAAGCCCTGTCGTATACACCGACGGGCTATATACAGTGGTGGCCAAACTCTTGAGGACGGCACCCTCTTCGGTACTTCCCGGGGCCGTTCTTAAGATTATGACCACCTTTGTATCTAAAAAAATATGGCGGCTCCTAGCTCACGTTTCTCGAAATGTCCAGCCGGCTGCCCCGACTCGTTTGGAAAGTACTAGATATCCTCTGTAGGGATGCAGCCGCGAGTGACCGGCTCATCGAGAGCGGTTCGGATCGCTGCTTCTATCGCATATCAGACCTATGAATCTTAGCTCTCAATTTGTTTTTCAGGTGAACAAGACTCTGCCGTATCTCGTCTCCAACGTTATCGAGCTCCTAGACGTGGACCCGAACGAGCTCGGCGAAGAGGACGGTGCTAACGTCGATTTGGATTCTCAGCGAAAAGGAAAATGTGCTGTCATCAAGACATCGACGAGACAAACCTATTTCCTACCTGTGATCGGACTCGTCGATGCGGAGAAACTCAAACCCGGAGATCTCGTCGGTGTCAACAAGGAATCTTATTTGATCCTTGAGACGCTGCCGGCAGAGTACGACTCCAGAGTCAAGGCCATGGAGGTCGACGAAAGACCAACGGAACAATATTCGGATATCGGAGGTCTAGACAAACAGATTCAAGAACTTATCGAAGCCTGTGTTCTCCCCATGACGCATAAAGACAAATTCCTGTCGCTCGGAATTTCACCTCCGAAGGGTGTGCTCCTGTACGGACCGCCCGGAACCGGCAAAACTCTCTTGGCTCGTGCCTGCGCGGCCCAAACGAAATCGACATTCTTGAAGTTGGCCGGTCCCCAGCTCGTACAAATGTTTATCGGTGACGGCGCGAAACTCGTCCGGGACGCGTTCGCTCTTGCGAAAGAAAAAGCACCAGCTATAATTTTCATCGATGAGTTGGATGCTATCGGTACCAAGCGTTTCGATTCGGAGAAAGCCGGAGATCGTGAAGTCCAGCGGACCATGCTGGAACTCCTCAATCAACTCGACGGATTCAGTTCTTGCGATGACATTAAAGTCATAGCTGCGACCAACAGGTTTGTGAAAGATTCAATTTGCCTCGTTCCCTGGAATTCGCGTGATTATTCCGGCAGCTGCCCTGACCGCCACCATCCCTTCACAGAGTCGATATACTGGATCCTGCACTGTTGCGTTCGGGTCGTCTGGACCGCAAAATTGAATTTCCACACCCAAACGAAGAAGCTCGTGCAAGAATCCTCCAGATTCATTCGCGGAAAATGAACGTCGAGAAAGGTGTCAATTATCTTGTAAGTCGCTGGGTGACTCGATCCCTCTTCATAAACAATATCCATCAGAGTCCGAAAGCTCCGATCTCGGTCTGCTCAATACTCTGCTCTGTTCTAGGAACTGGCTCGATGCACCGACGACTTCAACGGGGCACAGTGCAAAGCGATTTGCGTCGAGGCTGGTATGATTGCGTTGAGGCGGAATGCCATGAAGGTTACTCACGAAGACTATATGGATGCCATTCTTGAGGTGCAAGCCAAGAAGAAGGCCAACCTTAATTATTATGCTTAGGGGGTATAGGTGGGAGAAATTGGTACCGGTTCGTATACGTCTACGAGGGCGCCTCCCGGGGACATTCAATAAAACGAGAGTGATCTTATGGTACGATCGTATTGTCTTCAATCCAGCGCAAGATCTACGCGATCTTGTCGCTCTTTAGTTGATTCGGAGTGCCTGCAATTCGTGAAAGACCCGGAGACCTCTGACTTATTCATTCGAGCGAAGAGTCACGGACTTCTGGTCGATTCCGTTGAGGATGCGGAGTAGTCACACGCTGATTCGCAGTCATTGAGCCTCCTGATGCACGATGATTAGGGCTCGACTTTTGGCGCGGCATCTTAGGCCGAAAATCGCGGCGAGGGCGCGGCTTCTCCTTCGAAAAATCGCGGTGCCGCGATTTTCTGGCCTACGTGCGGTAGATATGGACATTCAGAGCGCGATTCTCTGCTCGGAAAAGTTATTCAAGAAAATCTTCGCATCAGAGAGACATGAGCTGTCTTTGATAGAGCGCCGATCATCGCTCAGAACATCTGCGTACTGACTAAAAGATCGCTCTGCTGCGACACTATTGATGGGAACGCTCAAGCACATGAGAGCGATTTGAGAGAGCTTCGGGAATCGTACCGATGCTCTGCTCCAGAAAGTTGAAGGTGGCGAAGAAGGGACTAACTCATTCGAAGCCGCCAGATATGCTCGAAGTTCAGCTGTCGCCTGGTCGTCATCCTCGAACCAGGGTACACTCTCTACACACGAGTTCCCCCTCTCGCGGGCAGGATCATTACGTTTCCACGGGGAGAGTACTAGAGGGTCTGAATAAATTCGCGGCGGAGATAATCATGGTATCCTCGAGAAAATGGAGAAAATCGCGGTTCCCTCGGAAAAATTGAAAAAATCGCGGTTAACTCGAAAAAAATTGAGATAATCGCGGTATTTGTCGCGACCGCGATTACCGCGCCGAAAGTCGAGCCCTAACGATGATCGATCATTGAGCTCGACGGTGAGCCCCTCTACTTTGAGATCCCCGTGGAGCCATCTGACGGAGGGAGTATGCGGCGAGGAAGTTTTCAGTCCGTCTCAATGGCAGATACGAAAGTCCGGGTCCGAAACGCCTCACAAACTTAGAGACACCCCCTTGATTGAGAAAGCGTGTATTATATTATACCTCGCAGGTGATTCGGGAACCGTCGCGTGCATCGTGCATCACAAGCGGCGGCGATGATTCGTTCGCTTGGCGGAAAATTGATTTGAACCTCGAGAGCCTACCATTAGGCTGCACGGGAACCCGAAACTTACCGTTAGAGTCGGAAAGAAAGCAACGCTATGGCACGAATGATTCGTGTGAAAGAGCCTTAAATCTGTAAAATATATGTGGCGAGGAATACAGGCGGTCCGGAATGACGTTCTATATTTGGCGTGATTCCTCGCATCATTAGAGCTCTGACGAGGAGAGCGATGCGACGTATTGTCGCAATGAGTCTTGCTACTGTATTATGTAAAGTATGCCCTAACTGCATTCCGATGATGATTCTTTTCGACCTGACGTAGCAGAGGAGGTAAAGTATATCTCAGCTCGTACAGGCTCCTTTTCTCTTGCCGCATGGAGAAGCGAATCATTCGTAATTGATTTCCGGTAGTCTTCAGCCTATCGGAAGTCTCACTAGCCTGTGGGCGAAGCCCTGGAGCATATCAGGCGGAACATCACGTATTTTTTTTTTAACTGTATCCGGGCTTCGCGTGAAAACAAGGCGTAAAAATGGCTCAAACTCACGCCCCAGACTATAGTCTATCCTATCTAAAACTATTATTATCCGATATCCGAAAAGTCTACCTACTTCCGAAAGATCATTCAAGAGAATAAGTTCAATCCAAAAGTTTTTAATGAATCAGATGTATGATCTCCCGCTCGCTGCTGTTCAACGGGCCCTCGAAGATATCTTTCTAAAAACCTCCCATGCTTACGCTTGGAGTTCCGCTACCGACATCGCAGAAGAAACTTTACATCCTTAATAAGCACCTGTAATGGTCGTCAGAGGAAATGGCGACGGCCGCGGTGACGCACATGCCAGAGCGACATTGAATGACACGCGACTTGACTCCTACTGGGTTTGTTGGTCAGCAGTATGTGTATCAAGCCCAATAATTGAAGCAACCGAATTACATAAGCGCTGGCCAAGCTGCGCCGCGTAATGACCTTCCGGAGTCTCAAGATGACAGATTTTGCCACGTTTGGGTTTGCCCAGAAGGTCTTGTTAAGTCTGGTATGCTGCGCGCCCTGCTCCCGGTCTTCAGCGCTTCCACTTCACGATACAACAACCTTGGTATCATTCCCTTCGGGAGACTTCACAACCGTCACCATTCTGGATTAATGCGGTTTCTTCCTTTCTCGTTGAGGCCGCGCGAAAACCCAGAGCGACGCAATGCTTTCAATGAAGCGTGTCGTTCCGGATTGGCACCTGAATGTGAAATACGCTGCGCCCTTTCGGGATATACCAAAAACTCCCACTAAGCGAAAAAAAAAGTGGTTGATTGTTCTCCCACCATGGGCGAGCATGCTCACAAAACAGAAATCGATCGTCCAATCCTCAAGATTCATGAAATCATTCGTAGCATTTTTTGAATGGTAAGTTCAATACGTGGGAGCGAGGGAAAAGATTTGGAAGCTACTTGTTCGGTTTCGATTTCTGGAGCAAGTGGTCTGGGAATAAAACGCCAACGCGAGCCAAGGTATTCCCACGGGAGAAAAAGCGAGAATGGAGCAAAACTGTCAAGAACTTCACTGTCAAGTCACCAGCGTGTTCGAGGGGCAAGACTTCAATAGTCCGTGGAGCAGAATGAACTAGCCGGAACTTCATCCTATCCACGCTTCCATTCATCAGCCGCCCTCTGAAAGCCTATCGAGCTGAGCGGCGATTTCCGATTTTAGCAGTCTCCTAATGAATAGCTTTCGACATTTTCGTTCATCAACTTGCTTGAGGTTGATTGAAAGAGACCCATGCTGGCATCGCAATAGCTCGGGAACCCGCTGATCTAAACTTGGTCCCTTCGGAAAGTTTCTGCGTTCCCACACTACTCCCCTAGGACATTTTCACCTTTTCTCATCCATCGCAGATAGAAAAGCCCCAGTTATTTTCGATCACGAGTTGCCCTCTGTTAGTGAGCGGCGAACCTTCACCCTGATAAATGATAGTCACTCAGGCTCTCCCAGAAAGCTATCGAACGGCCCACGCGGACTATTTGCAGCCTACGCGCTCAAATTTCGGGTGTCAGTGCCAAAGTGTTCTATTCAGGCAACTGTCCCGAAAAATCTTCCGAGCGATCCATTCGAATGAGGCTCGCTGATCTTTGATTCCGCGATAAGCGTAGAGACGACGGGACTGTCCGAATCCTGTCTTCAGTCACCACACCGCAGAATCGACTCATCCGCCCGAAAGAACAGACCGCTCGCAAGCCGAAACTTATTGGCTAAGAGATTCGCGTTGCTCGAACAGCAACCGCTCATCAGTGCTTCCGGAGAGCGGCTCGACCGAGGGTCTTTGGAGGGGTGCGTCTTCTGCTGTTCCGAGATATTTCATAGTTTCACGATTGAAACAATATGATCAATTGATATTCGTTCGATATTCAGATATCAATCTTAGGCTTTTCAGAAAAAACGTCCCAATCGAAACTCACTGAGCGTTCCGATCTGTACTTCCCGGTCCCAAGACGGCGCTTTGTCATTAGAAGTTCGTAGCATTTTGTCTTTCGGCGGAGTGAAGGCTCGGTGCTTCAGATGTCGCCGTTCTATGCCGGATGATGTCTTGAATCAATGGAGCGCCCCTCCTCGAGAATTTCCTGAAATTCTCTAGCTAGGCATCTTGAGATATCGCGCTTCCAGTCAATTGATGGAGAGAAATTGCTCCGAACTTCGCTGCGGAGCAGATCATGTAAGTTTTGCACCCGTTTCGAAGACGAACCACAATGAGCGAATCGCGGCCTGACGGAACGATACTTATCGTAAGCAGCTGACTTGAACCGAACATCTCGGAGTTTCCTGTAATCTTCAGTGACGTTCTACATTCTGATATCGAAGCTAATTCCGGAGAATTACTCAATTTCTTTCGAATCGCGAAGCCTTGTGGAAGGCTCGCGTGTTTGAGCCCGAGTTTTTGTTTGTCCCCGGGTTCGGGTTCTGGGTCGTTGCGTCGGCTTTTCTTCTTTCCCCCCTTTGGAACTCGATGATTTTCTCTCGATCAACGGAACATGAGCGGAAGCTAAGCTCTGTCGCCGGCGAAGTCCAAGGAACAGACATTCGGCAGCGCAGCCAGAGGTATGCATGTGACGAGTTCAGATGCAGCTGTCGTCATCGAACGCGAAGGAATCCGGAAAACGAAGAATTCATGAATGCGAATGAATTCTTTCGGCTGGAGCACTGGGACGAGCTTCGGATGCAAGTCCGCCAACCGCCGAGTGATGGATCATGAGCTTTATTCCGGGCGCCATTTATTTTTCTGGAGTGTCCTCATTCTCTTGAGCGTTCGCCCCCTTGTCTCGAGTGTCTATCTGTAATCGAGCATTGTTGAAGTATTTCACAGTTGAGCTTTTGTCGAGCGTGCCTTTGAAATTCGCGGCTCTCACGACACGCTCAACGCTGAGAAGGTCCGTGCTGACCGCGAAGACCGATGGACCCATACTCGTACTTGAATACTGAATCGTTTCACAGTCGAAAGAAATTACCACCACACGGTCATTCTGTTATCGCAGCGCTTCCACTGACCACATCTCTGCGTCGTGGATTCCCAAATCATGAAGGAGACTCGGCTAAGTCTCGGTCCCTCGTGATTCTCGCAGCACTCCATGGACGTTGGCTGGCGGCGGATGAAGCATCGAGCGATTACCAGTCGACCATCGATCCCGCTTGTAAGCCGGGCCAAGCCTCAGCGGAAACAAGCAGCTTAGAACGTGGGAATGGATGTGGTTCATTTTTCAAGGCACCAAGGTGTCAATTGAAGCCGTTCCGCGGTGGACTCGCTCGACATCAGACGCGTCAGAAACCTAATTCTCTGACAGTCAGCCTGTCCGCAGACGGGAGAGTTTCGCAAATCGAATTCCCGCCGCCGCGTTCGCTCGAAGCAGTCTATAAAGACACCGTCTGAGGGTCGCTGACAATATTGACTTCGCGCGAAGAAAGATTACTCTCCTTCGCTGCGACGACACATGCTTCAAAGCGACCACACGCTTGACCGTCGCGCCTCATTACGTCTCACATACCTTTGGCAAATACGTCGTGGTCGATAACACTGATCAGATTTCTGATCAATAAATGTTCTCGGGTGCCATGACGGGGTCCAATCACGGGCCCATCGATACGGCAACCCCCGAAAGGGAGCGACTCGCCATCGCGACGTGCGTTCCGTTCACACACTCGCTTCGAATCTGCGCTCGAATTGACGCCGGAACGCTTCCGGATATACTTGAATCTCATCAGAACATCCTATCCGATTGCCGTCGATAAATCGCTCGGAAGCGTGGAGCATTCTTACGGCTACTTTCAGTTCGCGGAGAAGATTCCGTTCATTGGATTTGGGTATTCGACTGGCAAGTCGTTAGCTATTCAAGATGTGAAGTAATTTCCCTCTTGGGCAAGAAACAGCCGGGAACAGCGGCGGTATCGCTCGATGTCTGAGTATCGGAAATCCCAAATGGACCGAATAGCAAGTAAGTTACACATCTTGACGCTCCTCGGCATCGTTGCGTTCGCAGTGGCGGGGATGGGAAGCTCCAACAGAAGACAGCCATCCGAATTCAGTGGGTCCGGAGGCCGTACCCTTCGTACTACGCGAGAGCAGCATTCCAAAGAAACGGAATCCGCTTGAACTGGCCGATGCACAGGAATCCGGATTACGAGCTCAGGTGTAGCATAGCGACGCATTGATTCGAAGTTTCGGAAGGATAGAAGAGAAATTATACGGTGTAGATGACGACTCGCGGCGCGAAGCGTTAAAGGACGCGGAAAATTCCTCGAAATTCAAGTGAATTTTAGGGTCTCCACGCAGCGCTCGATCTGGATCCGCCGACTTCGCCCAAACCTTGGCTAGTCGGTAGCAGAAGTATTCGCCCCTCTTACCGGTCCGACTCCCTTGCCGCCCCGGAGCAAAACGAAGTGTTTGCCGTCGCTATGAATTACAGGACTCAGCGAGCGTAGTCTCACAACTTGTTCAGTGGCGCCATGAAGCGTTTGGTGAGTTGATTCCACGGGAGGAAAAGTGAGATGAGATGAGCACCTGTGATACAGCGACGTGCTCGGTATCGACCGATGTCTTCCCGAGATGCGACCCGAGCGGCTCGTGGGGGTTTTTCCAATGACCGGAGTCGCGATCGAGGACGAAGGATACGGCAGTGCATTGAGTGTGCGATCGCGAATTTCCAATTTCGAGTGTCGGTTTCCGCTCGACCGGGTGGTCCCGCGCAGTGAGGTGTTTTGAGTGTTGCGCGCGAAGAGGGATCGCCTTCAGCGATCAAAAGCACCTGAACGGGAGCAGAGTGGGTGCAAGTGCAGCGCTGCCGGTTTCCTGGTGAAACGAGCGGAAATAATTCGATCAAAATCACCGGCAGGCTGGATATGTTCACTGACTGAGTGCTGCACTGAAAATCTGGGGAATCGTACAAGGCTGCTCGACGTTACCTAACGCTTAATTGGTCTTGTTACAATCAGCTTGGACGCACAACGGCTTGTGGGGGCTCAGACCGGGGAAATCTTCCGCTCAACATCGTATGGAATTACGAGCGTTCGGACAGAAAAATCGAATGGATTCGGTCGAGCACCGTTGCATTCGAATTTCTGTGGCCGCCCACTTTCCTCGAACGTTTTTACTCGGGTCCAATATGCTGAATTCAGCGTTTCATCACAACGAGTGAATAATTTTCATCCTTCTCAACGTGAACTTCCTCGAAAACGTTCGGACTTGGATGATTTACTGTTTCAAACAGAAAATGTCAAACGCCGAATCAATCACCTGGATTCCGGGAGCGATTTGTTCGAGCCATTGATTCGTCAGTTTTTCTTGGGGCAGTTTCACCATCAAGAGCAGGAACCCTCATTGACGGGCGTCGATAAAGTCGCGACGAAAGCCGAGCGAACTTCGACGAAAATTTATTCTCCATCAAGTACGCCTCAAATTGATCTACCCAATATTTTTGGCTTTCGGCGCAGCTGTACGCGTGGACATTTTGAAGGCTGCGACCGGAGTCTGCGAGATAATGTCGAGAAAACGGAGAAACTCATTGCCGATGCCAAGATAAAAACGTTGATTTTCTATCGATGCAGGTGGTGTTCTTCTGTTCGGTGGCTCTATGCCACTCCCAGTTCGCGCAGGGCCAGTACAACCCCTTCCAGTATAACGCTGGATATGGGACAAACTCACGATTCCCATCTTTTCCTGCCCGTGACTCTTTCGGTGCCAACAGGGGTTTCGATTTGTTTTCTTCGAATACGCTGAACAACAACAACTTCTTCAGACAACCCCAACAGCCACAAAATGGATTCCAGACAGCGAGCCAGAACGCGTACAGCTCGTTCTCGGGGTAAGGAACGTCAAACTTGATTACAACACAAGTAGTTCTGGAGAATTCTGTTTCGAAACAATGGGCCGCAAAAAGCTCGCGCCTGAATGACGCCCTCCCCCACCCTGGATATTGTCTGCTAATCATTCCCGAGCGGAAGCGTGGGAATTTTTCTCTGTGGGAGTAATTAGACAATAATTGTCAGAGAGATGTCCGCGCGAACTCCAAGTGAGCTGATGGAACCTGACGACATCCCAGAAACGTGAAGATCCACTTGTACATATTTCCCGCGAACTTCGGGGTTGTCGACCGTCAGGAACAATTATGCGGAACCAAATTATCAGAAATCTCCCGCAGACTCCCCTGGACAACCCTCCCTCTTCTATATTACAAAGCCCACGGCTCCCTCGTATCACCGATAGCTCACCCTTCCCCTTGCGTTTATTCCCACCACGGGGAAATCCGGTGGAAAAACTCAGGGCCGTCGACGAACGAGACTAAAATCCAATTGTCAAGAAAAACTCCTAATATCTCCAAGTCACCGTCGGACCGCGACTGCCGGATAAGGCGTGCGAATGAAAACCCGGACCGTTCCATTTGAGTGAATCCTTGCTTTGATTGGTTATCTAATCTGAAATCCGTTACCGTCCCCGCAGTTTCCCCTTCACAAGTGGAACCTATAACGCTCAGAATCCTGCTCAATCCTCAAACCCCTTGTTCTCAACGCCCGCAAACCTCAACTACCTTCAACCTCAGTTCAATGCGGCGCAACAGACCTATCAGGTTGGTATCTCACGGGCTGTCGGAATCGGAACCGATCTTCATGGTTTTCACTTCTCATCTCAGGGCTCTGTGGGAGCTCACCGGACGGAGATTGACTCTCCTGAAACTTCAGAATATCCCGTCGACCTGAAATTAATCTCTCTACTCTTTCTCTGTTTAGCCAAACCAGTTCAGCATTCCCCAGCCACCGCAGCCAGCTTATCAGGTGAATTCCATAATTATTTCGTACCTTGAATGAGTCTCTCCCGAATTTTCTCCACCAGTCGAGCGGAACCAAACAGCTCATAAGTGAAAGAGAGTAATTTTTCATTGCGATAGGGCAGAATGAGTTTTTTCCTTTGGAATCGGAATCTTTGGCTCAGGTACAACCCATTCTCCTTTTTGCCCTCATCGATCCCTATTTCATATTGATCGTTTGAGGCTCGGAGGATAATCATAGGAACCCCGGCTCCTCCGTTCGCTAGACGTGACGGTCTTTCGAGGATCGAGATCACGCAGCCACGACTGCGAGATCCGGAATTCCCGGCAGGAAATGAATATTAGTCGATCCTCACTGGGGATTAGTTAGCTTATTCTTTTCTCACCTCTAATCCGTACTCGATCATTATAGCAAACATTCCAACCGCCTGCTCCTCAAACAACGTACCAAGCGCCTCCTCCCCCACCCCCGCCACAACAACCAGCATACCAGCCACCGGTCCAGCAGCAGGCGTACCAAGCTCCAGCCCCAGCGCCTTACCAGGCCCCATATCAGCCACAGCCGGCCTTCCAGCAGCCGACAGCTCCGCGATCCGCGCCCTACGTGAATACGGCTCAGCTCTCATACAACGCTGCCGCGCCCGCTCAGAACCCGGGTAGTTCGAATCTACCCTCCGGATCCTCGCCCACGGATAAGCCCGCTGTGTACCATCCCCCTGCTCCGGTGCATTACGTGAGCATCGGTCAGAAACTCGAGGGGGACTACAAGTTCGGCTACGAGACCGGTAAAGGATCGAATGGAGACGAGTCCTTCAGGTCGGAGACTAGAGACGCCGACGGAACTGTCCGGGGGTCGTACGGTTATGTGGATTCTAACGGCAAACAGATCACGGTTCATTACGAAGCCGGTCGTGAAGGATTCAAAATCTTGTCTGAAGACGAAGCCAAGAACGGGAAGCGCCCCGCCCCTCCACAGCAACAAGGTACGCCGTGACGGCTAATCTCATCATCATTCGTCGAATACCTCATACATCTACAGACCTCCCATTTTTCGAAACAACTGTCCTCGTAGCGCTCAATGCCTCATTCACACCCTCAGGTCCGGCCCAACAACTCCCGCAACCCCGTTCTCAACCCGCTCCCCAACCCTCGTCCGAGAGCTCAGCTCCTGCCCCAGCTGCCTCGAATGAATCAGCCCAGTCGTCTCCTCAGAGAAGAAGGTATAGTTCCGAGACCCCGGCTTCACCGTCAGCGAATCTGGCCGTCTCGCAGGTTTCACCAACGGAATCAACGACTTACGGCCCGCCGGTTATCGACGTCAATCAGCTTAGCTACAATATCGGGACTGGTTGAACGATGAAAGATTATCATTCCTCATCTCTCCCCCCTGAGGATCGGTATTCCTGCATCCCTCCCTTTCCGACCTCCTTCCATCCGTCTAACAGTCGTTTCGACTAATCTTTGAATTCACCCTTACAGGAGACGGAGGCCGAACCAAGCATGAGCGGTGAGGGTCTCCCTCCGTAACTCATCGATTGAATGATGGTTATTCAATCAAACACTAATTTAATCATAGCCAAACACATCACCTTGTAAATATTTCGAATAAAAATAATCCGTTTTTCACTTAGACGAGAACTCTGCGGATGTGTTCGACTTTCATCCCTCCTTTCGATATATCCAAAATATTCCTCACACCACTCACTCAGAACTCGAAAGCCTCGCGCTTTCCGAACTCCTGACCGCAGCTCCCTGATATCTGATAATCTGGAATCCACTCCGGCGAGATCGATCCTAGAATCTATGACGCAGTAAATCTCAGTGATCGACCGGAGAAGTCTCACAGATCGTACAGGTAATACACGTCTCGTGGGTTCCGACTCAGTATCCGGGTTGGATATGCTCGCAGATCCGCTTCTGGATCCACGTAAAATATTCGTCAGTTCTCGAGGAGGTTGCTTCCCCAGTGTCAAGCTTCCCAGACGCCGAGTCGGTAAATTGGAACCGCAAGACCCCTCGGAAGAGGGACCCGGAGACAGCGAAGCGTACTTTGGATCATCATTGTCAGTTTCACGACTGCTTGGCCGAAAGAGGGCGATGCGTGCCCATGCCTGTCAGATGCATTCTGTCTGCTTGACTTTCTGGAATCCAGCTGCGGAAGCTCTTGAACTCTGAAATTGCTCATCGGGAGCCCTCGATGAAGGGAAAACGAGGGAGCAGAAAAAATAGCAGCCCTCGGTAGGGTCAGCACTATAGCCTCCTTCTCGAACTCGTGATGATTAGAAATCACGGGTGATTAATCGAAGACAAAATGTCTCCAGAGCATTGTGAGGGCGACTGCCCTCAAAGCTGCACGCTCGTCCCGATCGATGACGATTTCGAGACTCTGGAATTTTCAAACGCCTTAGCTGCCGCGCAGGGGTCAGAATCACGGGGAAAGCCCGCCCCGAGCTTAAGAACCGCGCTCAGCGTTGCGCACTGTCATAGAGCTACTGTGTCCAGCTTTCCGATTGATAGCTAACCTCTGCCGGCTGCTGTTCTCTGGAGACTAGACTCCGCATCGTTTCGCTGTTCCTTAGGAAGTCCTGGACTACAGCCTGCCAGTCCGGCTGATCATCTAGACAAAGAGAGCTTCTAAATGGTGTTTTTTCGCAGATGCGAGCGTAATCCGACAAAGCCGCGGCCATTGTCCGGCGCCAAGCAACTTGAGCAGCTGGGACCAGCGCTGCGTCCGTTTCCGACTCTGTGTCAAGGGTTACCCACGAAGCACCGTTTGAAGTCTTGATCAAGAAGGTGGCCTTGGAAAGAAGGATACTTCCCGCAGATCAAGTGCGTATAAGTTCAACCGGCCTTTCCCGTTTTCTCGGTGATGTGGAGCTCCGCAGATAAGCGTTTCGCAGGAGGATGATTATTCCGAGCAGGTCCCCGGTCGGACGGAGGTTGTGGCCCTCCCGACGGGAGCTTCAGTCGGTCTGCTATCGTTCCAAGCGCTGGGAACGCGCAGCTTCGTCACTTGGCGCTTACGCACTTCTGCTCCGCGATCGAGCCGCGCTTGTCTTTCTTCCAGGGTACCGCTAGGCAGTTGTGCGATAGCCGTCCGGCACAAAGTATCCGGAATGAACTTGTGTCGCTGTTGGAGGGATTCAATTTTTTGGTGAGCCTCCTCGCGACTGGTTGAGCTTCGTGTTAGGATATTTTCCCATGGTGCACGTCCATCACGAGGATCATGGCTGAACTCCGTGTGCAAGGTGATCTGTGCCTCCGGCTGAATCTCCTCGCGAAATCGACTTGATTGCGCCGTGATCTCTCCGGCGATTCAATGCTCTGTCTTCTCAAAATGGATCTTCCCCCGTTGGGAGTGTTCGTCTTGATTTCGGCGATACATGTAATTTCAAATAAGGTGAGTCGGGATCAAGCCCCCTACATATGTGTCCGAGTCTCACCCCTCCTGTATGTACCGCACCGAATCATATGGTTGGCATGTAATGCTCGCGGAAACTTTCGCTGTCCACAAATCTCGCTCACCTGAATGCTCACGGCCCGTATTTCACTTATGTGAAGGACTAGAAATTAGCTGATTAGGAAGCTTCAGTATGGTGCCACCATATATCGTATCCTCTGCAAGAATCCCTAAAGTGCTGTTTTCGCACAAAATTTTCGGCTCAGTCCTATGCGTCTGCTCCGTCAAGCAGCGGATGACCTTGCTCCAGAGCGAAAATCGGTGCGCCGAATCAAACGTGAGCCGTCCTTACCGAAAGCGACCAGATACCAACAGAACTGATATTCCTTACCAAGTGCGACAGCGACGGAACCGCGAATGCGCAGATTTTCTGAGAAAAAACCCTCCAATGCGATAGTATTCCTTTCGCAGGGGAAACGTATTTTGTCGAAGAATGCTGAAGCGATTCGAAGTCAAGAGCGAAATTTTCCCAGCCATTGCGGATTGCAAAAGGCTCCGGTTCGATTGTAGTCTTTTGTTGCTTTCAATGCTCGCTTGATCGAGTGAATGATGCTTCTCGTTTCAATTTCCAGGCCGTATTGACTTTCGAAGGTTTCGTGTATCCTGCGGTGTTTCTCAGGTAAGATCGGCTTTCCATCCAGACCGGCTCGGATCTGCTCGAACGCGGATAAGATAGGCTGATGACGACCGCAGGTTTTTTCTCAGCTGGCAAGCCCTGTGTGCAGCGATCTCGCTGGCCCGCGTGGTGCTTCGCACACGACGCCAGACCCGTTGCACCAATCAGCTGCTCCATGGCGTGCTCCTGATACTGCCTCTGATCACTCTGTACACTTACACTGGCTCCAAGGCTCTCGCAGAACTGGTGAGAATGCCGCATTGATGCTCCCATACATTGATTCGGACGGGATCGATAGAAACGCCGAGAGCTTGATTTACAGCCCGTCCCGATATTCCTGTCCCTGCAGTGCGCTGTCCCTCTATTTTCATGGGGAATCGAAGCTGTCCTCCTCCAGGAGGAAAAGGGTCACCAGAGGTCCGTGTCACGATAATATGCCTCGCAAATGTATCGATGATTTGTCGGGACTCGATAGGACCTGAGGATCGCAAGTCTCGCTGCTATGCTACCCCGGTGCGTGTTCCATCATCGCATCGCTAAATCTATCCTGTTCGCAGATGCCTGTCGCAGCTATCGATATTCATCATGGCAATTTTCTCCGTGGCTTCGATTCTACTCAGCGTTCCTTCCCCGTATTCCGAGGGTGTTTCTTGGATGAGCGTCCATGTGTTGGCTTCGGGTGAGGGCCGCCATGCGGAGCGAAAATCTCTTGCAGTTTCATTTCCTACATCGCACTTCCATGAGCCGAAACTAATCATATTTTGTCTCCTTTCCGTCTAAAGTGAAACGTTCCCCTTGCAGTCATTGTCAGACTCCTGGAGGTCAATGGCGTGAACCAATGTGTCAAAGCAAAGTGAGTGAAGCTGTTCCGATTTCCGACCAGAGATAATGATGGAAGCTTTCGCCTTATCTTCTCTCGTGTGATAAGGGCGGCGTATATCCTTTAACATCGCATTTGATGGAACGTTCCCACTCGAACATCGAGCCGTAGAATGTAATTCCGAAAACCCTGAGAAGTAAATCCTTGGTAACTTCGAAATTTCCAGCGCACCCTTGCGTGACCTGACTTACCACTGTTCTGTTCTGATACTGTTGACATCGACGAGTCTCATGGCCGGCGACTACTTTCACGTGTTTCACGCGCCGCACTTCAGTCGTCCCTCGTTCTGGCTAACATTTGTCGCAAGGTACGTTCTCAATCCCGAGATAGCGGGCTCCCCGATATCTTTATCTCCATCGAATACCCGTTCCAAGAATGAGCTCCCAGAAGCATGCGTGTTCTCTTGATATCTCCGACAGCGGGGCCAGCATCGCGTTCCTCGCGACAAGAGGCTCTAGCCCCTTCGAATCGAGTCTCTCCCGCGTATTCACGGCAGGGCTGAGTTTCTTCCTCCTAAAACTACCAGAGGATATTCCTGTAGAGATAACTATTTGGTGAGTTCAGAAGGACGGGACGAATCGGATTGAGTCATCCGTCCACGGTGATTGTTTCGTATAACGGTCGAAAGGGGATAAATGTCGCGTTTTCCTCTCAGGATGGTGCTGCTGTTCTTGTGCCTACTGAAGCTGAACTGGGGTCCTCCGAAAGCTCGGCCCGTCTGTCCGCATGATAAGTTCCGGAGCATGGCGCATAGACAGAATCTGAGCGATTGCCAGTTCCAAGCGATCATTTGATATGGTTCCGACTTCGATGGATTTGTAAATACATTGTGAATAGAATTCGTGCATAGACGAAATGATTTAGACTGGCGGCCGTCTCTTCTTCTGCCCCTGTCCCCCGCTCTTCCAGATCGCATAGAATTGTCGAATTGTCCAGGGCAGAGCACCGAGTGCCGAGATACGTGCGGCTGGAATCGCGTCACTATCTGAAGGCCAGGATCGGGATTGTATCTCTGTAGATGCAGTCCGATCACCGAGTCGAAGCCAGCGATATCAACGAGCCCATCCGGAACTCCTCGAGAGTTTTCAATAGACTGGAGCACACACATGTATATATTTTACTGGCATTCGAATGCATATTTTATTTAAAATATCCTAATCTTATGCCTCCCCCCTCTCAACACATTTCTTACAATCAGCGAATTTCTCACAAACCCGTATCTCCATTAGTAGAAAGTTAGATGACTACTACAACCCCGGGGCTCATTGCTCCAACCATCCTCCTCCTTCGATTTCCGCACTCTTTCATAGTAAGCTCCGGGTTGTTTCTCACCACATTTTGGCTGACCGATACTGCCCGTGAATAATTTTTGCTTGAACACTTGGGAATGATGCTGCTATACTCGATTCGTCACCGTCGACGAGCTCTCTTCCGTCATCCTGAAGCGGTATTGCGTTTAGTCTCGCGATGTCAAAAGATTCATGAAATATTCAATGAAAACATTGGCGTCGAGAGACCTGATTGCCGATGCAGTAGGTACATCGCGTTGAGACTTTGACCATAACATCGACCCCCAGTTGAATCAACAGCATTCAAAATTTTAGCTCTAATTTTATGTACAAAAGTCTACAATGGGCTACCTAATTGCACATTCTAGTCGGTGTCCGCCGTTCAGCATCTATAAGGAAGGAAGGTACACAGCTTAGGTTCGGCGCTGGGGAAGGACGTTCCAGGCGTCAATTCCATGAATCAGTGGGTTTTCGTGCTGATATCGCTCATCAAGGAGTCAGACGACTCACCTCATTAGCTCCCCATGTTCTCTTGCTGTGAATGAGGTGGCGCAACACCGGACAGATTTTGTGAGAATTGCCCGCTCGTTTTATACATGAAGCTGCTCAATTCGGGGGGCAAACGACCGAGGAGAAAATGATGCTGAGGACTCATAGAAACCAGGGGAGCCGCCGTGGGCTCAGTCTGAGTTCCGGTAGCCGGCGGCAGATTATCCAATTTCCTAGAAATGCATCATTCGCTGTCGATCTGACTCACAGGCAACCTCATTGGATAACGTGTCCCACTGCGTTAGTATATGTACATGTTTTGGACGAGATACATAACGCTCTAGGAGAGATGGGCAACCAGGAGCTGGCTCTTTAGGCATTAGGCCTCAAATCATTTGCTCGTCGGAATGTCAAAGGCAGAGAATTACATACGGTCCAAATAACCGGAGGATCGCGTGATGGTCGCCTAAACTCACATAATTTGGTGGTTCTGGTGCGTTCGCAAATGTTGCCGGAGATTCGTCGATGTTGAGAAACGTTTCGGGCAGAAGGAGCATTGGAATGGTCGTTCACCGGTATGAACCTGGAAACGATACAGGATTTATTGCATGACACATGTGGTGACACAAGATCGTTAAGGTCATCCCTCATCAAGCTTGGAGTACGATATCCTTAGGGATGAGCCGATTCGGCGTATGGGGGGGAATTTCATCGAGTTATCCTACTCATGGAGTCGATTACAGACAGCCATGCGTCGTGGATGCTCTCTCGAGGTGAGAGAGGGAGGGGGAGGCCTGGGGGTCTTTCTCGCAAGTCCCCAGCAGTCGATTACTCTAATTATCCCGAGGCGAGGTCCCTGCACGGGTTAGGGACAGAGGAACTTTTTGGGGTATGTGTCGCGGGACTCCCTCACATCGAAGAGATGTCAACGGTTTGACGCGTCCTCGAGACATCCGTCGCTTTCGATCCCTAGTGATATACAGATATCATTAAATACTACAGATATCAGTGACCTCCTCGCTACAGTCCATCGCAACGCCATATCAACTCTCTCTCTCTCTCACTCACTCAGGACGACCGGCAGTCCCTGCTCGAAACAACGGGATCTCGCGGAGGAGAGGATTCCGGTGTGTGTCTTCGATTCTAACTAAAGAAACGCTTACGATGCCCTCGTGCGTTTGCCCCTGAAGAGAGGAATGCGGCAAGATCGAAAATGCGGGTCTCTGAGGGCATGACCAGCGGACGCGTTACATTGTAGGATCGCGACGCAATCTGGCGGTAATTATTCCTTCCAGAAGTAATCATCGCCGATATTTAGTGAAGAGAAGATCATCATCATCGACGTCTTGTCGCCATCATCATCAACAGCGTCAGCATAATCATCATCAGAGGCAGCTTGCTTAGTAATGATGATGATCGACATCATGCTGATGATGATCGCCGTCGTCATCATCATAATCATCATCCAGCCGTCGTCGTTGTCGGCGGCGGCAGCCACCGTCATCACCGTAATGATCCCCATCATCATCATCAAGCGGCTGCCGCAGCGCCAAACGACCGCTAGTGGAAGCACCACCGCCACCAGCCGCAGCAGCTCAGAATCCCTTTTCACATTTTCTCTTGTTCGTTCGTTCGGCCGCTTGCCTGGCTCTCTGTCTGTACGTATGTATGACAGCCTGCCTGCTCGCTTGCCCGCTAAGACCGATCGTAGATGCTCACAGTGAGACGAGATTGAGGAAAAACGCTCTCTCGCTCTCGGAGAAACTCTGAAGCTTTGCTCGAACAAGCTTGGAGATGACGAGTGATTGCAGTGATTGCAATTCCCAAGTTTCACGCCTTCAGATGAATGAGCGGCCAGCCTCTTGAGCGGCAGATTTCCGACAAGGGGGAGTCGTCCCTTCTCGGGGTTTCTCCGGTCCCTGTTTGGGATACGCGGAGTCCAAACCTCAGTCTTGTCATCGATTGTGGGTCACTTTCCGCCTGGGCAGGGTCGATTCCGGTCGAGCTCGGACCGGGTGCGAAACCGTTTTCTGAGTGAGATTGACTCTCGATTATGCTCACAGGTTCCGCTTATCGAAAATTGTTGGTCGAAAATATCTATGTAAATGATGAATTCAGGGATCGGCTGAGGGAGGCCCGTTCAACTTGGTGGACCGAGCCGCCTTCCCAGGCGAGACATCTCGAATATACGGAGGCAGGCTGGATAAGCTCTCCAGAAACAGAGCTCCCGAAGGACAACAAGGAACCCAGCAATCAGCTAGTGGCCAAGTGACCAAACGAACTTGCGCAAACACTGACTGACTGATCGACCAACTGGATGGTTGGTCGACGTGTGAGGCTGTCTTTCTTGTCCCTTCGTCCGAGCACCGTCCACCGACCGACTGACAGACGGACGGACAGACGAACAGTCGGACTGACAGACGGATAGACCGACACAGCGAACGACAGGCAGACATGAGCTCGCATGTCATCATCATCAAAGCCTGACCACGCTGAGGTTGATGATGATGATCATGGTGATGATGACGGCGACGGTATGATGATGATGACGGTCATCATCATCAGCGGCCCGGCAATGGCTGGCACGGTCGCCAGCGGCGGCACTTTTAGCTCGAGCAACTATTCAGCTCGACGAACCAGCTAGCGAGTAAGCGGTCCAACGAAGGAACGAACGAGCGCAGCGGACGAATGAAGGAACGAACGGACGCATCCGCGATCGCCTACCGTCGCGACGGTTTCTGTGCGGGCGAGCGGTTCCTGGTTGCGGAGCTCGCTCACCGACCGAAAGTATTACTCGCAAAGACCCCGATGACGAAACAACGGCGTCGTCGTCATCATCATCAGCGCCAGAGTACGTCGGCGAGGTAGCGCCGATGTTTGCTCTGCAACTCGATCTCTCGCCATGGCGTGCTCGTCTGCCTATGTCTGCGGGTGAAGTATCGCGCTCGGTCGTACTTCCGGTCCGAATTTCTCGGTCGCTGAAGTGCGGGAACACACCGAACCTGGGGGTCCTGACGCGGGTTTTTCGAGCGGACTATTTGATGCATGGTGCACTGTTCTTGCTCACATGCTAGGCTCTCCCCCCTCGCTGTTCGCTCGAGCCAAGAACCCGGAGCTCCAACTCAAGAACCGAGTGTCCCCGGGCCATGGATGAGCAGACGTGGAAAGACTGATACGATCCGAATCTCCAGTCATCCAGCGTAGCGACACGAGATCCGTTTTTTAAAAGCAGAGTTCAGAGAAGCAGGGAAGGGATGTAGTTTTCCTTCGTTTCCATTGAAACGCATCGTTGGGATGGCAAGATGCTGGCTGAGATAACCATCTTTTTTCTCTGACGAGAGGAGGGGAGAAGGTAATCATCATCAACTTCCTCATCGTGGTAGGACCAAGCTCGAATCGGGATACTGGCAAGCGGAACAGCAAATAGAGGAGTAGTTTCCGTGCCGCGAGTCTGCTCTAGCCTGCGCTGCACCGGACGCTATTCCTACGTACATTATCATTGTCATCAGCAGCATGCCCTTTCATTCGTCGGCGCCTCCATCATCACGGCCATCATAATGATCATCATCAAAAGCGTCGTCATTTCTATATGTGTGATCACGATCATCATCAGGAGCGTCGTCGTTGCCGTCATCACCATGACCATCATCATTGCCACCGACATCAGAGATGTCATCTGTTGATCGGACACTCCTTCGTAGAGTTCCACTCTCCCGATGGAAATATCGTTCCCACCACAACGTGCCATTAATCCTCCGCCAGCCGTCCTTGTTTCCTTCCTCGTGAAACCGGGATCTCGAGTGGCAAAACTTCGGAACTCTGGTTTTTCGCAGATTTCCATTACCCAACGAATTGGCTGACAAAGCATTCCGTGCTGTCGAGCAGGAGGACTCTCCCTGTCTTGGTCCACGATGAGCCTTCATATCCACTGACTGAATCCCTCGATGGAGGGAGCTTGCCTTCCAAGCTCACTACAGGGAAACGACTCGGATCGAGAACTCTCGTTCCGGTAAATCAAACTCACCCTCAGATGCTGCTTTAAGTTACTGGGTGTCGAGAAAGTCTTTCCACACACTCCACATTTCGGGCGAGTGTACTCGAATGTATGGAAAACTCTCTTGTGTTGGGTGAGATTTGACGCCGTGGAGAAAAACCGGTTGCACACCCGGCACCAGTGTTCCGTTGGTCTCGTTGGTACTTTCGGAGCTCGTGGTTCACCCGTTTCACCTGGAAAATCAATCTAATGAACTGCTACCGATGGGGTGTTTGTGACTTCGTCAGAAGAGACTGCGAGCTTAGGCTCCGAACGTGGGGCTGCTCGAATTTTCGACAGTGGGAGACGGCATCCGAGCTTCTCCTACCCTTTTGAAGAAAGGATTCGTGCGATTCCCGATTCTTACGGTACACTGCTCTCGGCTATTTGGCGGGAATATCATTGCGTGCTTCGACCTCGTGGAAGGTCGCTCAGAGGCATTATTTCCGTTGCGCTGGACGCCTTAGAAGAGACAATTCTTACTCACATGAAGAGATTGAGCCGTCCGCAATCCTCGCTTCATGATTTTGATTATTGAGCGAGTCCGGCGACCCTAGTTTGGGAAATGACAGGTGAGATTGGGACCTTCAGAGGAAGTGAGCTATATCGGCCAGTCGTTCGCCTGATCTTTCCAAAGAATTCTCCGGAACAAAGTCAAAATATATTCCATGATCATGACATAGAAGTTGCTTCCAGTGAGCCTAATATGGAGATTTTCATTGAACACGAAGAACTCGCTCCGACGACGAGGGGGGAACACGAGCGAGCCTCGCTGTTCCCCTAGATTTGGTCGAGAGCCTTCGAAGAAGAGCGATTCCTCTCGACAAAAAAAAACAAAAACAAATTATGGATAGAACAAGTATGAGCGACTTCGTCCGGCCGTACCGTGGGAAGCGGACTCCGTGACACTCCGGTCGAGCAGTCTTTGTAAAGCTATTGCCTCGGAAACACCTGAAAAACGTTCAGGGGACCGATGGTAGCGAGTGTTCCACCGGATTCTGGATTCGGTGATCATCGAGGGGCGACACACCCTGGCCACTACAGTCAGCATCCGATCAGCTGCGGGCCCAGAGGAAACAGGGATCGACACCGACTTCGCTCGGAAAAGCAAAGTCTTTCAGCCTCGATGAAGTTTTCATCAGCCCGGAGCGACACATACACAAATCCTCCGAAGTTTTCGGTCGGATGATACCTCAAGGGAAAGAGGTGTCCGAGCCGGGCCGCAATTAAGCGCACTGAGCTCATTCGAGTTACGTACCCTGAGTTGGAATGTCCGATCTCCGTTCCGCTAAAGAGCTTTGCGCCTGCAAGGCTTCGGAGGACATTCTGTGTATTCGACGGTCATAAACAGAGCACAGCAAGTCACAAGAAACGATGCATATTGTAATCCGAGGGGGAATTCACTTCACTTGGAAGAAAATCACTTGTGGTGAGTTCGTCCGAAAACATTCGTGAACCTCAGGAAACGGTTGAGCGTCCAATAAGCTAGTGGTTGTGGGTTGTGGGCATACACTTTGTTGCGAGAGTTGTGCCACTGCCTACCTCACCCCCTGCTTGAGAGAGGGCAAGCGGACTCCGTCGTTTAAGGATAGAGCGGAAGCATCACGCAGCCGTTCCCGTTGGAGGAGGCGTCATTATTTATCTGGAATCAACAATTTTCAGGTCTACGGATTCAAGATCTTTCATGGAGCTTTCTCACCTCAGTTTTTACGAGGTTCACTGGCGAGAAATGCTCCATCTGAGAGGATAACAGGGAGGGAGAGCCTCCGACGATTAAGTTAAGCCGCAGCTCTGCTGTGAGAAAGAGATGCTGCTTTTCTTATCAACAAAATAGAAGTCTCCGATCTTGGCCGGAGCCGGCTGTGGTGTCGATGATCTCACCTACCTCGTGTATGCGGCAGCTCGCGAGGGCTCCGATAAGTTTACTACAATGAATTCAAAATGCATCGGTCCTGTGCTGCCCCCGGGGCTCCGGAGGTGAGATCCGACATCAAGTCCAGAATACCCCAAGTTTTTTTTCCTGTTCTTCACGGATATCGTTCATCCATCTGAGGGGACGGCAATCGCCATCTCTCGAGTTCCTCCATGTTTCAGAGTTGAGTGGCTTAGTGTCTTCTACGATTTCCAGACCTGCTTCATCGGATGATGACGATGATGATGAGCGCGCGGAAACCAGCAGTGAGGCCCGAGGATCGAACGAACCGACAATCGGTCCGGCCTTACCACCGCATTTGATGAAAAGGTTCGGACTAGTTGTGCTTGATCTTCCATCGTCTGTCGCTACCGCAAGGGACTCCGTCGAGCGCATTGATGAGATCGAGATCGGAGATTCATCTCCATTCTTTTCCTCCATTCTTCTAATTTCCAATCTGGTTCGCAGATTGCGCCGCTCTTCGGAAGACGAAGCGTCCACTTCGAATCGTGCAGCGAAGGGATCAACGACGATCGGACCAGCTCTCCCACCGCACCTCAAGCATCGAGCGGGTACGTCGAATGATAATCGTATCTTCCTCTGCCAGGTTGGAGATGGATTCGGATACGACGCGTAGAACCGTTTACCTATTCATCTACTGTAATTCTTGACTCTCTCTTTTTAGCCGCCGGAGGAGATGGAGGAACAACACCGCCCTCGTCAGAATCGGATTCTTCGGGAGAGGACGGACAAATTGGACCATCGATCGGTTTGAAAGGAGGAGAATACGATATGAGGGAAGAGTTTGCAGATAGGGAACGGAGAGGGAAAGCCTCGAAAGATGTGGTTCTCGAGCGAGAATCCTGGATGACCGAGCTACCCTCCGATCGGACGGGGGTCAAGATCGGTACGGGCGCTCGTATGTTCACGAAGCGGGACGGGAAGGTGAGTCTCCTTGAATCAATAAAAGTGTCTCTGATGATACATACAGGCTCGGACTGAATTATCACCGAAGATCAATACGTCCGTCCCACCCATCGGAGCTCCACGTGAGATGCTCCCGGAATATCGCTACGAGTAAAAGCGGAAACCTAAAACAATCTCTTCCCTTTAGGACATTGTTCTGGATGACAGTTGGACTGCTGCTCCGGGAAAGGAAGTCACGAGAACAAAAGACGACAGAAAAGCTGCGCAGCATCAACAAGAGCTCGCGCAAAGGTACTTTTTTCCAGACATTCCGAGAGTCGGGATTATCCCGTGGAATTATATGCTTAACTGGATAATTAGGCTCTTCATCGATTCACGAAGCATCCTTTGAGTCTCATAAGGAAGATTGGTGGTGTTTTTCCCAGGAAACGGGATGCCGAGATCGACGAGCACCTCGCTGAGTTCAACGCCGCGAAGCGCAGTAAACCTCTGATTGAAATGCACAAAGAGAAGAAGTCCAAGAAAAAAGACAAAAAAGACAAGAAGAGCAAACACAAAGACAAAAAACACAAGAAAGACAGGAAAAAGGAGAAAAGGGAGAAGAAAGACAAGAGCGATGACGATCCTAGCGCGGTGAGTATATGGGTTTCTTTCCTATCACAATCCCCTCGGATTGATTGTGACAGTCCGCTGAAGAGTCATCGGATGAGCTCCCTATAAATTCCCGTTGGGTCTCAGGGTCCAGGCAACGATGAGGCTAATAGATTGTTACCGCCACAGATTAGGAAACCGTTCAACTGGGAAGAAGACATGAAGGTTTCGATGGTGGACACATCGCGAGCCAAATCAATGTTGGACAAGACTCTCCTGCAATCACGCTTCGCGCCGAGCAAATCCCAGAAATACCTCTGAATTTCATCGACTGCATGCTGTACATAGAATCGTGTGGAAAAAGTCTGTACATAAAGGCGAGCTATCGGCTCCATGTTCTCTTGAGCGCATGGATGTTCGTGGGAGGAGGCTCCTCGGACGGGAAGGAAGAATGCATCATCTATTGTACTTCGTGTGTAATCAGTGCTTTATTCGAGTAGCTATCTAAACTTACTTAGGGGGAATCTCTATCTAAACGAAACAAGCTGTTCCGATTTGGAGACCAAACTCCTGTGATCTGCTTCCGATGTCGCGCGGAGCGATGTCTACGATCGGCAGTCTGTTCGGTTTGTCAGACTTGAAGGTTAGAATCGTGTGATCCCAGGTGTTCTTGCGATCCTAGAAAAACAATAGATTCGGAAATTGTTCACGATCAGGGTCGAGGGTGGGCAATGCTACGGCCCCAGGACGGGGGGGGGGCAAGAAAAGACTCGGCGAATCGATTCCACCGCTAGTCGCGGAGAGAAACAATTAACTCACTTTGCAGCCATCGTACACGGCCTCGTAGGCGAACTTGTTGACCGTGGAGGTTTCATCTTTCGAGGTCTTCAGCTCGAGATCATTGCTGGATAGCAGTTTGACCGCTTTCTTGAAGTGGTTCTTTTGAGCGTCAAAGAAGGCGACGGAGTTCTTACAGTGGTACGTGATATTCTGTTCGGCTCGACCACTGAGCATTTGGAGGAAGGTCAATTGAACGCGATCGATTTTGTAGGTGAACTGGAAACAGTTAGGCGTTTTCAGTTTTCTCCGAGCTCGCCGTGGGCGCAAGGCGGCATTCTCGGCTCATCTCATCGAGGACTAGTCGACGATTACGACTTCGGAAGCGTATTCTATGTAGACTGACCTGCCGACCTCCCGGCATTTCGGAGTACCAAACATGCTTGGCCTTGCCGATATAATGCGCTTTTTTATCCACGGCGTTCGGCGATGGTGTGATGCACGAAGCTCCGATCGCCATGTCGCAATAGACTTCGATCGCATCCCGCGAATCACCCTGATTTGGATCGATCCAGTACATACCTGGGAATTGGAAGAGATCAGAACGTGAATATCAGAATCATTCATCCATAGGGTCCACCAAGAAAGAAAGAGCGGGAGAGGGATCGTCGTCCGAACGACACGAATGCATACGTACCGCTCTTGAATTCTGGATGGGAGACAGAGAGATCCCTGCAGGTTTTGGCGGGGGAATCCTTGGTCCCCGTCGGATTTCTCAGACGGTCGTACTCCTCGACGAGCTGTTTGTAGTAAGTGAAAATGATCTTCTTCTTGTCTTCAACCGAAGTCTTCTCGTCGAACAGCAGACCGGCATCATCACCGAGCATCGGATCGGGTCCTTTGGTGTTTGTTCTGCCGAGGATCGCTTGGAGTGCGGCCGGATCGTACCCAAAAGGTTCACCTGGAGGCCCTGGTGGTCCGACGGGACCAGCCGCTCCAGGAGTGCCGGGCTTTCCATTTTCTCCCGCGGGTCCCCGAGGACCGGACGCTCCTTGAACTCCCTGGGGCCCGGGAGACCCATCTCTGCCTGGTGTACCGCGTGGACCCTGCGGACCTGTCAAGCCGCTGGAACCAGCAGGTCCGGGCGCTCCGCGCTCTCCCGCTGGGCCCTGTCGCAAAAAGCATGTGAGGAAAGATACCACGAAACAACCCATGAACAAGCGCGAATTTATCGATGGTCACTCACAGCAGGTCCCGGCAGTCCCTGGAGTCCAGCGAGACCTCTGTGTCCCTTCAAGCCACGATCGCCGACTTCTCCTCGATCGCCTTTGGCTCCTTGAATTCCAGGTACGCCTGGGGCGCCCCGAGGACCGTGCGGACCAGCGACACCGGCCGGTCCTGGTTCTCCCCTTTCTCCGCGCTCTCCGGTCGCACCTCTCTGTCCGGCCGGACCCAGCGGTCCTATCAGACCTGGAGGTCCGGGTGGGCCTTGAGAACCCGGAGAACCTTGGGGTCCTTTGTCTCCAACGCGTCCGGCGATTCCTGGAGGGCCTTGCTTGCCCTCATTGCCAGGAGTTCCTCTCTCTCCTTGAGGTCCGGGGGGTCCCTGAACTCCTTGGAGTCCGACTGGACCCGCAGGACCATCAGCTCCGGGTTTGCCTTCGAGTCCACGCTCGCCTTGAGGTCCGCGCGGTCCGTACGGTCCTTTCGGTCCCTGGAGGCCGGGCAGTCCGGGTAAGCCACGCTCCCCTTGAGGTCCGGGAGGTCCGACTGGTCCGGATTGACCGGCAGGACCTTCAGCACCTCCGTCCCCTTTGATTCCAGGCTGACCGATGGGTCCAGGGTTGCCCTGCTGTCCCTGTGGACCGACTCTGCCGGGTTCCCCCGTCACTCCCTTAATTCCTGTGGGTTCGACAGATGAAATATGATGAGTATCGAGTGGCTCGAGAATCCACGATAACATGTGCAAACAATCGAACATATATTCAGTCAGTGTATGCAAGGGTCAATTAACGTACCCGGAGGTCCCATGGGTCCAGGAGCTCCGATCGCTCCCGGCTCCCCGGCACGACCGGTTTCACCCGGTCGTCCCGGAAGCCCGGGCAGACCTATGTCTCCTTTCAGACCTGGTTCTCCACGGGGACCTTTCGGTCCTTGCAGACCGATAGGTCCGAGCGGTCCAATATCCCCAGGTGGACCTTGTGGTCCACTTTTTCCTTGTTCTCCCTTCGCTCCGATAGCGCCGGTGTTGCCTTTCGGACCAGATGGTCCTGGAGGTCCGAGAGGACCCTGGAAGCCCACGGGACCGGGCGGTCCAATGGCTCCGCGATCCCCAACTTGGCCAGGAGCGCCTGTCGGGCCCATCGGTCCGGGCGGTCCGGACTCTCCTTTTATGCCTGGCTCTCCAATATGACCAACAGGTCCCACGGGTCCCTGGATTCCAGGCTCGCCTGGTCTCCCCATTGGACCTTCAGGACCCGGCGGACCGTGGTCGCCGCGTTCTCCTTTCGAGCCAATCGGTCCAATGTCTCCTCGACGTCCGGGGAGACCCTGTGGGGAATTCAATGATTTTCATGCATTCGGTAAGAAACCGTCCGAAAAGCTTATGACAATCTTGTTTTGAAAGGAATTCATTCTTCTTCGAGTTTCGAAAACTCGACCCCTTGAGACTCCTACCACGAGACCTGGAGGTCCTTGATGTCCCTTCGCTCCTTTCTCTCCGGTCACTCCTCGAGCACCATCTTGACCGGCGGGACCAGGATCCCCACGTTCTCCAGGTGGCCCTTGGATACCTTGTTTGCCCGTTTCTCCTTGGAATCCCCGCTCGCCTCGCGATCCAGTCGCACCGGGTGCTCCCGGAGGTCCTTGCACGCCGGGACCCCCGTCCTTTCCTGGTGCTCCTGGGTTCCCAACTATACCGGGAAGGCCCTAGAGAGGAGATCAACGGTTGCCCGGTAGGATCGAAAGACAATCTTATCGAGCAATGACGTTCGAGCGAATTTCTCGCAACTCCGGGTTCGAAACCTACCTGGAATCCTCGAGATCCTTGGAGTCCGGGAGGTCCCCGGAGACCGGGCTCACCAGGCTTGCCTGGTAAACCCACCATACCCATAGGCCCCTCTTTTCCGGTGTCTCCACGAGGTCCTTGCGGACCTTGAGCTCCCGGTTTACCATCGAGACCAGGTTCACCCTGATGGAATTTCAAAATTCAATTTCATTGGAATTTCTATCGACATCGTGAGGGTGGGAGTAATGCCGACTAACCTGTTCTCCTTTCATGCCAGGCAGTCCTGTCGGGCCTGGGAGTCCTTGCAAGCCCTGTTGGCCGGGCTCTCCGGTTTTACCATCAGCGCCCGGAAGACCCTAGAGGGGTTCATGAGAAGTTAGAAAGATACGGCCCGGCCACTAGTCCCTGACCGATTTTCTGATGCTCACCCTCACTCCTGGGACGCCGTCTTTGCCTGGGAGACCTGGAAGGCCGGGGGTCCCTCTGAGGCCTTGCAGACCAGGCAAGCCTGGTTTGCCGTTGTCTCCCGTAGAGCCTTTGGGACCCATCGGCCCGAGAGATCCTGCGATGCCTTGCTCTCCCTTCTGTCCCGGCAGGCCATCGGGACCCGGGAGACCACGTGGTCCCGGTGTGCCCTGTAATCGGTATAAGAACCTCTGAGATATTCCGACGCTCCTATTGAATTCGGAAGATCAGCTCATAAGAACGAACGCTCGGATACCGACCCTTTCTCCTTGAGGCCCAATCGGTCCTGGAGGTCCTTGAGCTCCAGTTTTTCCCTGAGAAGATTTTTAGAAAATTCAATTTCACCGAGACTCATCTCTGAAAGAAGGAGACTCCGACGCTCGTTCGCTATTCTCGGAACGAGTCTTACCCGTTTTCCAGCGACTCCCTGAGGACCTGGGAAACCGCGGGGCCCCAGGGCGCCTGCCTCTCCCTTCGGTCCACTGTCACCCTTGTGTCCCTGGTCGCCAGGATTCCCCGCGACCCCCTTCGGTCCTGGGACTCCAGGGCTCCCGGCTAGCCCCTGCGGTCCTCGGGGACCCGGAAAGCCGGGTATTCCAGCCGCTCCACTGTCTCCCCGACTTCCTTTGTCTCCGGGGGCTCCGTCTTTGCCGGGGGGTCCCTTATCGTTTGGAAAACTTCGAGTTAGCAGCGAGGATGTTTTCCACTATCGTCGTCCAGTCGTCACGGAGTCATAGTCCCAGTGAACTCACCGTGGGTCCAGGTTCTCCCGTGGATCCGGGTATCCCAGATTCTCCCCTGGGGCCTTGCAATCCAGCACTGCCCTTGGGTCCTTGGCTACCCGCATCCCCTTTCATTCCGGGAGCACCCGGGAATCCAGGGGGGCCCGATCGTCCAGCAGATCCTGGCGGTCCGGGAGGACCAATCTGGCCGTCAGTTCCCCTTATGCCGGTAGGCCCAGCTGGTCCTTCGCGTCCCCGCTCTCCTCGAGGCCCCGCTGGACCCTAAGGGAGGAAATCGCCTGATGGGGCCTTTTACGACATCACGGCAAGGTGAATATTCGGATCAATCGGAACGTGGACAGGGAGACTGTATGGATCCAGATTATCATCGACGGATTCAGACTCACGACTGGTCCGCTGGGTCCTGGTTTACCAGGTGGTCCAAGGGACCCTTTTTCGCCGGGGGCCCCTGTTTCCCCCTTCGGTCCATCGAGACCTGGATAACCTCGATGACCTTTCGGCCCCGGAAGTCCTGACATCCCAGGCAGTCCTCGAGGACCTTGTGTTCCGGGGGGTCCTTGGGCACCAGGTTTTCCGTCCTCTCCAGTATCGCCCTTGAAAATCCAAGGATGTCACCGACTTTCAGCGCTCACCGATCCGTACTTGTACTGTGAACCAACAAATTATATTTTCTAGCATGCGATCCCGTCCGTTCCCCTCACATCTTTGCCTGTCGGTCCGACTGGACCGCGTTCACCAGGGGGTCCTGTAGGTCCAGGGGGACCCGGCTCGCCAGGTTCGCCACGTGTGCCCTGGAAACCCTGGGGGCCGGGAGGACCTGGGGGTCCCGTCGTTCCGCGAGTTCCCGGGGGACCGACCGAGGCTTGCATGTACTGGAAATCCACTGGTCCCTTCTCCCCGGAGGCTCCAGACAGTGCTCGTTGCTCGGTGAACCATTTGTTCAGCTGTAAGCGATTCCTTCCCTTGATGCATCCACTATGAATCTCATGTTTCGAGGCACAAACATCAGAGATAGAAATCACTGGGGTGAATCATGCTGCTCACATCGGGGACAGTACCGGGTGGACCGGGGAGTCCCGGAACACCGTGATGTCCAGGCTCTCCCGGGGCTCCTCTCTCACCGGGACGACCCGGACTGCCGTGATCTCCTTGTGGCCCCGGGAGCCCGGGAATCGGTTCGGACACTGTTGTCTCTTGCTCTTCAACGCACACTTCGCAGCATTCGTTCGCCAAAAGAACCGTCGAGCCTCTGCAGCCCGCGAGGGATGGACACTGCACTCGGTTGCATGCCACCTGACCCGCCAAGCAGCGGCAGGTGGTGCAATTATCCTGTTGCCACTCCTGCAGATCCGTGAAGGTTTTGCCATTCCAAATACACATCTCAATCCCGGGCTCCGGCTCTACCGTGTTCAAGGGCGCCTCGGGCGCAACTGTTTCGGCTTCGTCGACGTCATACTCTGCATAGTCGTCTTCATCAGCTCCTGAAAAATACGAGACTCGAATCGCAATCACACATCAAAGCGGAGACTTGGATTGCACCGCCAGAGTTCCGGAAGAGCTCGGCAGCCACCGGTCATGTGATCACTTTGAACTTCCGATCTAGTCGCGACGATCTTCACCCTGAGGCGCCGCGAACACAGAATTCAGGACTGCGGTTGCGGCCAGGAGCCATAGGAGGTGGCGCGCCATCCTCCGAGTTGGCTCCGAGTTCCGCGTCCGCGTTTCGCTCTGTCGCGAACCCTCTTTCGGTCGCGCGTATTGATAGAACAGACGTCCCGGCGTTCAACGTCATCGGTTCCATTTATACGGCTGTTAACACTCTTTCCTCTATAAGTCTAATACGAAACACATGCCTCCTTTTCCAGAACAGTGTGGGAGGAACGGCTCTCGACTCACCGGTGGGAGACCCTGAACTCTTTCGTGCTTTATTGTGCTCGGACAGAGAATCCCGAGATTCCCTCAGAATCTATAGATTTCGCTGTTTCACTCTGATCTCTGGACATTTGTTCGTCCCGATCATTGTGTGTTATGAGCATACGATTTTCGGCAAAGCGCTGTTCCTATTCGGGACTCGAGACCAAGGATCCCCTCATTTCGAACATACTCATCCAGAGACAACGTAATCGCGATGACGCTCGGGATCTTGGGAAAATCGAGGGAACCATCACACGGGCGCGAGCTGAAAACTCCTGTTAAAGGCCGCTCGAATGTCACGGACGACTTTTCCGGGAGAGCAAAAAGTCGAGATCAGACTCTTGGGAGTGGGGGGAGCATGTCTCTCTCGTTCACCCGAATTCAACCGTACGATACAGGTTTCCGCCAGACAAGCTCCACTCGCGATATTCGAATACCATCGGCCTGATAACGAGCCGTGAGCCATGATGTCAAAAGCAGACTAGCAGACGTTGAGAGGGACTAAAATGTGGATCTGGGAGAGAATTCGTTGGATGACCATCGGACTGTCCTCCTGAATCGGTCCCACTCTGCGAGGTCCGAAAGCGCGGATCTGTAATTATAATGTTTGGCAGCACAGCGGGTACGGAACAAAATCCATGATGCTGATTTCGCTCACTCGCCAACGTTCGTCATCGGCATTGATCGGAGAGACTCGGCCCGCTTCCCTCACAGTGTAAGGGTCGACGCTTGCTCGACTAGAACTCTAAAATTGGAAGGCTCCATCGATCGTTCCCATTCCGCCGTCATCTGCAGGTTGTACTGGTTCTGTTTCGACAAGAGCAATGATCGACTAAGCGAACCGCCTGTTTTCGAGTTGTGGACAGTCGATTGATGGAGGCAGTGAGCGTGTCCTTTCAAAAACGATTACTTCTGTCGGAGACGAGCGACCGGTCTGCGGAGAAACGGACTCTATCTGGTCTGATCGAGTTTCTGATTCATCTCGGATATGTGACCCCGAAATTGTGGGGCATGTATCTGTAGAAGTTGATGCTCGGAATATCCCCCTTGTCGCGTCGATCTCAGACGAATGCTCGGCGGGATTCTCCGCGGATTATTCAGAATGAGTCTGATAGCCTCGGAGGCGTCATTTGATTCGGTAAACTCTTACGGGACCCGGGGTGGCTAATCAAGGAAGCAAACTGAATAAAAAACATTCGAATCGGTGGTTGGATCAATTCACAGCAGATATCTGATCGAGAGCATTTCGAAGCCAGGTGGTGGTGGCTTCTGTATTTCATAAATAATTTATTCGACCGAGCCTCCATTCATCAAATCCGCGGAGCAACAGACCGTACCACAGTTTCTCTTTCGATTTTCCGAGTCTCTCCAAACTGATTATCGATTTCATCTTGCGTCCGAGCCACGAGTCTCGAATGCTTGTTGAGTTTCCGAGAGGTGTCTCCTATTGGGTGGGGAAATGAGATTCAATCCGCTTTCGTGCCAGACAGAAATTGTGTTTGTAGAGCTAGGATGAATCATGATCCGCGCTCGTTCCTCAGGTCGCGAATGATACTTATGGACCGAATCACAAAGAGAGTTCCGTTTTGCCGCTTCTTTTGACCTGTCTGCAGACGTAAGGGAAGATCCCCGCCGACGAGTCTTCGCCCACGATTTCGATTCCAACACGGCCACAGAGAGATTCAGCACAAGCGAGACGTCGACCGTCCGAATTAATTCGAGAGGAACTCGGCGGGGTTCAGGGAAATAGGCGGAAGGTTCCTCCAACAGAGGAGTCAACCGGGGGCACAGATCGTTGGGAGCCACCCACTTGTTGACCAGTCGTCATGGAGATCGGTCGATGAATCGATGAGCTCCACATTAATATTGAACATACATCATGAAAAAAATACCTGTTGCCGTGACAAATTAACTCACCTCGGACAGGAGAGCGGAGCGACGTCCGAGTCCCGACAAGCGGGGCAGCTCATGATCGGATGGAAAAGTAGTGGATCGAGCGAGCATCGCCATCCCGATGTCTCGACGGCGAAATATGGATTGGGGCATGGTCCTGGCTCGGAGATTCTGATCGGCCCCATCGGAGTTCCGATTACTGCCCTTGATGGATCTGAATTAGGCTCGCTTTTCCGAGAATGAAAATAATATTTCATGAAATCTCAGGCTGGGATGGAACAATGACTCCTAAGTTGTTCTCGGATCCCAGCGATTCCTAAATTCTTCCGTTCTCGGATTCCATCCCTGCATCAACGAATTTCCACCTCTTGATTGGAGAAATCTCGATTGCGCGGAAAGTCTCCTCCCCTAGCTGACCATCTCTCATTGGCGAGCGGACTACGACCGTTCTCTGGCAAGAGATTCGAAGTTTTGAACTCATTCTTGGGATACTCGGCCCTTATAAAGTGAGCTAGACCATCCACGCTTGCGGAGTTGAGAATCAGCGGGCTTTGCGGCGGACCACCGCATGCATATATCTGGGATGGATTCATATCACTTCCGGCTGATGGGGTTCTCCGGAGGATCCTCACGACGCGACGCGCGACTATCTGGGCGCATGAAAGTTCTGATCTCAGCTCATTCGTGGTCTTTCGGATTCAGGGTGTCCGCCTGAGTATGGGAAAGAAAAGAAAACCAAGGATGCCTCCTAATTTAACCCAGCCAAGATCCACGACTCCCCCTGCCCGTGACATCAATCCCATGAAAACGGCTCCTTCGAGAATTTGGAATGTTTTTCGAGCTGAGTGAGGCAGTTCAGCATCCCGCCCACGGAGCTTGAGCAGAGGCCAGGGGCCTCTGGCTCGCTCGATAGTCTAAATATGATCTCATGGTATTGATCTTAAATGTCCATTAACATTGCTTGCTCGGCCACTATCTTACTTTTGGGGGTTGCGCTAGGGACGGGCCGCATGAGGGGAATGGACTTTCGTATAAATGAACCCGCCGAGCTCGAGACTCGACCATTCGCGATCGTTCTTGCCATTGCCTCACTGTCCTGTGACCAATTCTCGCTCCCCTCCATAGAGGAAGAGTAGACCAGTGAGAAATGGTTCCCATTCAACTCCCGTGACAGTCTAGACCTATCAGTGTTCATCAAGTTCGGACAGAACCTTGAAAGTAGTCAGGAAAGCTAACTCGGCACCGGCAGAGGTGGAAGACGTTGGTGTGCCGACCTCCGCACCACACACCAAGACTCCAAACTAGGACTTCCTTCGTAGATCACATTTACCCTGTAGATCCGAATTTATGTGATTCAGATGAAGTCGAGACTACCAACAATCTGAGATTTGGAGGAGTTGAGACAAACGTAAATTCGGCTCTAGAGAGGTTGCTGTGAGATATACCGTCCTGTCCCCAGGTCAGAAAGCGGTCGAGAAGCTTCAGGTCAGTGTGGGTGTGGGGATACCCATCTTGCCCTTCAGCCAATCTCCAAATGATCCCAGAGTGACCAGGGAGTACCACGAAACGACTACAAGCATGTGATTAAAAGTCACTTTATTCATGTTTTCCACAATCTACTGAAAGAATTCCACGCGTTGTAATGGCACTGTGATGAGCAACATATACACTTTATAACACACACCAGCGCATCCATGGTTCATAATTATGGCTTGCGCTCACGCCCGGGACCGCACTGGACTCTCATATACCACTCCGACATTGTTTCCGTGAATGCTTCGCTCGGACAATAGACCGGAGATGACTCAAATCAGGAACTTAGCCGGTCATTCGACCTGGAAGGAGATCGAGTGATTCGGATGCGATGATTCGCCTCTTATTCGAGCTATCAAGCCGCCATTCCATCTCCAAAAATGCGCCTGATCCTCCTCATGACTACCTATATCACTTCACTTTATATGATGTAGGATATGATCGCAACGACAGGAATCAGGTACCGGTCCCGGACCGAATTTACTCACGGCTCGACACATATCGCCGTCGGACTGATATCTCACAATCAGAGACGCACGCTTCCCAATACTTCATAGTCTTTCACAGGGGTCAACTCCGTGTCGTTGTTGTTAGTGGTTGTTGTTGGTCTGGCAGCTGAGGGCAAAAAGAGTATTCCATGGTGAGGGGATACGGATCAATTGAAACACACTACGTGGAAGCCCCAACTAAGGAGAGCCCCAAATACTCAGTGGTCAAACTCCCAACAATTTCAACTCTCGGTCCCAGAATGGAGTCGTGCACGATGAGCCCTTATGCAACAACAGATCGGTCAAATGAAAAGAGACGAGGAGGAATCACTCCGAGTCCTGTGCGAGGGGACAAGTTGGGGGATATCGGATGTGCGATCTGAGCATTGTTCCCTTCCCCTGGCATTGGGTATCGGTGCTGATAACGTCTAGCAATTGTATAGCTCATGGGGAACTAGTTAACTCGGAACCGTATGGTGATCCCACTCGACACAATAAAATCCAAGTCAAAGTCCGTATTCCAATACACATACTCATCCTAGGCGATACGCGGCCGATACAACGACGATAGGCTAGCAGACATATTAGTTGAGCATGGATTATGAATCCCGCTGATGTCCTCAGGCCGTCGGATTAGCGGCCATCAGGGTGTTCGTGTCCCTCCACTGATCATCCGTCCCAGGCTGACCGTTCAACGAAGGCACTGAAGCCCTCTCTGGATCCTCACAAGAGTTTGGAGATGGCGATGGTGATGGACGACTCACTGAAGATCACCGAGAATAATTCTGTCTAGTATCTTCATCGCTTATCATACTCGTCATCGTGTGGAGCGGGTCGCCGGAGGGGGTGGGTCATGTATCATTCGTTCAAGGAGGGATTCCTCCGATCCCGGGGAGGCCTCAGCTTCCTCAGAACGCTCCAGGGATTCTTCAAAAACAGGTCGGAACTCGTGCAAGGCTGGAGCCAATCAGCATCTCTAGCCGGCCGCCGGATAAAAATCAGCAGAGCCGAGGTAATCATAGTCAAATCACACCTAAGCTCAGCATCAGAGCTTGAGCTCTAATGATCCTCAAGAGAGGTGGACATTGCAGACCATGAACTTCGGGCGAAGATGTGGAAGAGCACCCAGAAAGACGCCACAAACTTGAGGGAATGATGACAGCTGACTGACGCTGTCAAATCATCATCAATCAGGACGTAAGGGACCTATGCATTGGTCTCAAATTCCTCTTCGGCGGCTCAATCCAATCAAGAGCGTAAGACAGCCCGAGGTGCTTCTCTTCGGAAAACCACGATCTAGGGAATCTCCACTCGGATCGAGTTCGCGGCCTCCCACAAGAGAAGTGGTTCCCAGCAGCTGGTCGCGAAGGTCTGGGATACCTGCTCCCCGCCGGAATCGGCGCCGACAGTGCGAGGGGACATGATGATTGCGAAGCCCATATCCATTAAATTCCTTGCATCCGCCCATAGGGGAATTTCGGTGGGGATATATGAGGGAAGCGAGCACCCTTAGAGAAATGGGCATGCGGTTTATCATGCCAGGTACGTCAACGCGGAGAGGAATTCAACGAAAACGAGCTATGTCAGAATTTGAGATTCGCGAATCCGAATTTATTCGCAGAAGTTCTTCATCAACTTGTGATGCACCTCTCGAAGAAGCGTAATTACTCGGGCCGAAAGGATGAGGAATTATCGATCACAACTTCTTTCTTGAGAGAGAAAGGGGTTTCCGTTCAAATCGAACGTGTGCTTGTAAAAATATCTCTATTTCCGTATAAACAGGAGATAACGATTCCGTTACCTATATATGAACATGCTCCCGCAAACACAATACATTTAACACTTCTGCAGGTATATACAGAAATTCTTTGTAGAAAAGAAGTGTAAATCGAGGACGGGGAATGGCGAAGATACAGGCAGGCGGTCGAACCCAATGGCTCCGGGTACTCGACGTTGGAGAGGAACTTCGGACATTGAATTTCCCAGCGACAAAACTGAATCCTCCCACGAGTTGCTCAACGCGGCGTTTGCCGCCGATCGAGTTGTCATCGGGTGCTCCAGGTATAGGTCGCCAAGTTGACCTCGTGGAGAGGGAGCATCTCATCTTCCTCAAATTGACGGTCTGCTGACTCGTATCCTGGGCCCTAATGCTCGTGGTCCATCAGACTTCCGTAATCTCTGCCTAAGGCATCCGTAATATTCGCAGATTCCTGCTCGTCCTCATCGACACACAGTCTGCTCCTGGTACCAGGCGGAACATAGCCTAAAACGAATCAACGATTGCAACAACTAAGGCTATGGGGATCGGACATTCTTCAATCTCTAATATCCAATACTCCTATGAGGCAGGTTGGTCTTGGGAGCTTATGGGTGAATCGAGTGCGTCTACGGTGCAAAACAGAGAAGAAGTGGAAATTGTCCGTGCTTCTATCATCATGCTTCGTCATCGTGCGAAGAGCGTGCTTCGTCATTAATGGGACGAGGGTAAACGGGAGTTTGAATTAATAAAAGACCCATCCTCAAGTAAGTGCATTCGAGTTTGATGAATACACTACTCGAAAGAATATTGAATTACTATTGAGGAGATCAATCAGCATGGGAACACGACTGAATAGCGATTCGGTGCAGTTAGATGTCAGCCGATGTTTGACGTGACTCTCCGGAACAGAGCGCCGGGGACGCTAGGAAGGAGGAAACCTCAGATATCATTCATAGAATTTTCATCATCATTGGGGATAAGGAAGCACCAATGATGAGCGGATAGCGGCTCTGAACTTGGAGAGACGCGCCGAAAAAGAAGATACGGTCACTGAATGGGGACCGAATCTTCAGTGCGCACGGCTCCATGGTGAAAACGGGAACTTGCGCTAGAAAGCCAGGCAATCAGACGCATTCGACTCATTGGACCATGATGATCAGATTAGGGAACATGGAGGCGTGGGAGTTATTGGACGAATCCGCATATCGAGGACAGATTCCGCTGCAGTGAGAAGGCATCGCAGGAGAAGGCGCTAAGCCCAGCGGGAATGCCAATATTGGATGAACTCCGATCTGGCTCAGGTCAAACCCTCAGGGAGTCGGGAGTATAACTGTTGTCAGAATCGGCATGAGTAGTGTAGTGCATTAGGTATGAGAGTTTAGTCTCGGCGCGGTCCACCGACGGACGCGCCCTCTGCCGGTAAGGCGGCAGAGCCGTTGTCTAATACAGTGGTTCCCAAATTTTTCCTCCACGGAACCCCTAGGGGTTCCGACGGGGTTCCGCAGGTAGACTTTGGGGTTCCGCAGGTAGACTTTGGGGTTCCGCGCAATCCGCCACGGAACCCCGAGGGTTCCGCGGAACCCAGTTTCGGATACACTGGTCTAATAAACTCCAGTCCCGAGCGGCACACGGCCGAGATCATGCGTGTTTCCCGTGAGGCAAACACTATGCCACTATGTTTTGCTTTTGTAATCGGAAATGAAACTCTCGACCGGGAGAGGTTCTGCCCGCTGAGAGCTGAGTCGACATTGACAAGAATCCGGAACACTGCGGTTTCGAGGTCAGAGAAGATGATTTCAGCAAGGAGCTTGGAATGTTCGGAGAGCGAAACCGCTTGTCAGGATGATGAATTGATTAGTGGCGTTATGAGAGGTGAACGCAGCTATCTGCTTCACCCTCTCAGATATAAGTTACATCAAGCGCTCGCAAGGGTGAGTCGCTGGTGGAAGCAGTAAGCGAGGAGGGGCCTCAAGAAGTGGCGCACGTTCTAAAAGCCGATAGAGAGTCGCAAGATGAAATGGATTTACGTACGACACGCCGGCTATGGAAACTAAAGATTGCGGCTGTGTTGATCACGGAGGATATTTCAGATGAACTGTCCTGCTCCCGCTGTGAATCACACTATTTTTACGTAGGGTTTGCACATGGCGCCTTTACCTTGCATCCGCATCTGACAACGTTCTTTGTCGCGAACGATTGTGAACATGTTCACGATGAAAACCAGAGCTCCGATCACCAAAACGCCCACAGGGAGCATCATGGCATTACGCAAGCACTCGAATGATTTAAGTTTATCGTCTGCGCTAGATCCAGCGCAGAGTTGATCTGAAATCTGAGTAGTGGAGAAAAAATGTTAGGAAATTCGGAATGATTGTCGAGGCATGTGAAAATGATCGAGGCCTAGGAGTCGGCTGACGGAGATATACACGAGCGAAATGAGGGCGCGCCTTCGTGTCACGTACCGATCCTACGAAGTACGGGCTCGCTGCGTCACCCAGCATATGTGAGAAGAGAATCTGCATGGCTGAAGCAGTCCCCCGTCTCGTGGGGAGTACTGTATACAGGAGAATGTCCGGAACTATCGACCAATTGAGAGATAGGAACGACAGTCCGAAAAAGAAGAACACCCATGTGACGTTCGGCTGGCTGGCGGCGAACATCAGAGCGCCGAATATGAGCGGTACTCCTAGGAGGAGTCCTGCCGCACAGATCGCGGGATCCGCTCTCTTGAAGCGGCCCCGGAGCGTTCGTGAAAGATAGACTGCTAAACTGATGCCGAAAGCTCCCCCTAAGCACGTGATGGCTCCAAATATCAATGTGCTACTGCAAAGACAAATAAATGTTGAGTGCGGCTTTCTTCGTGAGATGACTGTTCGAAGACACCTCGGGGTGGTGTGATTCGGTCAGAATAAAACGAAAAGGCCAGAACAGGACTTACTTCGTGTCCTCCGAGCCCGGGGAATGCACTTGCTGGGCTCTGCTCATGAAGTCAGGCGCCCACCAGGACATCGCTCCGAGGGCGAATGTTGCCGCCGTGAAGCCCAGAGTGGACAGCACGAACGACAGGTTCGTGGCCAGATCGTGGAGATCTTCGAAGAGTGACGTTCTGGTCAATTGTACTCCTCCATCCGACTGTCCTCGCGGTGGTTCTCTGAGGACACCCAGGATAAGGACGATTGCGATTGTGCCCAGAACAGGAGTCAATCTGAGAGCCCAAAACCAGCCGCCGAACAACGATGATAAGCCAGCTCCGACCATATAACCAAGACCGGATCCGATCGGAATAGCGTAGTAAAACACTCCGAGCGCGATCGTTCGCTTGTCTTCGGGGAAGATGTCGGCTATGATTGTTGGCGCGATGGTCGAATAAGACGCTTCGCCCACACCGACCAGGGCTCGCAATGCGAAGAATGTATGTTTGTACTGGAGAGATATGAAAAGAAAAATCTCAATGTGAGCCATCCTCCTCATCAATCCCCGAATCAGATTTTCAGATATCTAGGCAGTATCACGGTGCATAATCTTCAAGGGGAAACTCACTTCTCTGGGTGGAGGGATCGACCCCAGCAACGTTGTCACACTCCAGAAAACGACTCCGCCCGCCATCAGATACTTCCGCGAGTATCGGTCGCCCAAGTAGCCGAATGCGGGCGCAAACACCATGTACGATATCACGAATACGGTTTGTAGGAAACCTTTCTCTTTGTCACTGAGCCCGTAATGGTCCGAAACCAGGGGTAAAACGGCTAGATAGGGGAAGAAGTTCTATTAGATTTTCTTCTTTGTCCACTTTAGATACAATATCCACGAGATAAGGGGAGAATTGCTCAAGATTTCCGGATGGAGACGGAATTTCGGGCAGAATGTTGGAATCCCGGGGGCATATATTCTCCTTTTTTTTCACGCTGCAGGAATCCGTATGGAGAGGCCTCGCCAACTCCTCGATATCCAGGCTCACGGTAGCCGATCATAGCGGATCGCTAACCCGTCTGCATGCTCGGAGGGATGCCAGCAAGCTCAAATGAATGCGGATACTAAGAGGCGTCTCGAGCAAACAATACCTGCGCGTGACTACACGAAAACAAGAGGTCGGATTATTTACTCGCTAGGAATTTATAATTGCTATATCGAGTGACGGTCTCGGGTCTCAGGAATTCCGTCGTGGTCGGGACTGCGAGACACCTTCCAAGAGTCGATCTTCTCGTTTAATATGGGTCAACATCAGCCAGCTCGCCATCGGTTCTCACTGGGTTCTCACTCGGTGGGAGATTTAGAACTGAAAGAGACACGAGACTCGTGGCTGTTGTGAGAGAAGGGCTGACCAAGAGATCTGGTTCAGGCCAAGGCTAATAATTGTCGGACGGAGAGAGTCGCGAAGCAACTTTGCTTTGGTTTTGAGATAGGCGGCAGCTCCGGCGGCATAGTTTCGTACATAAACTCCGCTTGAGAGAGCAAATCGACGGCAGAAAGGGCTTGATATGAAGTTTCGTTCCGACTAGCATGTCTTTACGCAGATTCTGCCGATATCAGAAATGCTAAGCGCGGCCGGCCATAGTGTCTTTGAACTGGTATCGCAGCGCTTGATTGAATCCCTCGAACGTGATGACTTTTCGTGAATGTGCCCGGGACCATTTGACACGGATTTTTCCATTACCTACATTGTTGCTTATCTCTACAATACAATACGACATGATACGATACGCCGAGCACGTTAGTCAACCGATAGTCGGTCGCCTATAAGGCAAGACCACCATTGGGAGCGGGAATGCGCCGAGGATTCCAGAGCTCCACTCAGTGAGCGTTCATGTACGCTCATGGGGACATATTGGTGGGTGTAAATTATTTTCGCATGAGACACGAGAGCGACAGAAACGAAATAACGGAAGAGACCCCGATCATCCCATACGATTTATGTGCGAAGCGAGTCATCAGAGACGTCTCGAGGCGTAACAATAGGGCATGAACTTGCTTGCGCCTCTGACTGCTGCCCTCGGGCCTCAATGCTCTGCGCTTCGGAAGCAGCAACAACGAGTGTATTGATCCAGCTCTACGCAAATTGACTCGCTTACTGTCACGGCGAGTCTAGCTCTGTTCTCGTGATATTTCGAAATACGCTCAGGAAGTATTCTAGTTGAAAGGCATACCCGTCTACCGCGTACTTCGCGTCTTGGGTACCTGCATTCATACCCTCAGAAGTGCCGTTTTGTGGGAGCCTGCCCGTCTATCAGAAACCGCCCGTATATTAGAGAATCAGAGACTGTCTTCTCATCAGAATATTCACGGTATGCCCCGGAGCTTTTTCTCCCTCATTGGGAGAGGGGGAAAGAGGCAATTTCCAGAGGCAAATTTGGTAGATGAACTCACCAGCAACAGTCACTCTGTCCATGTAGTTGATGAGGTTGACGAAGAAGAGAATGCCGAGCGCAATGTAGTCCCTCGTGTACGCCCGGGAGCCGGCGATGAGCGGTGGGTTTGGGAAATCAGCCATTTTCCTAGGTTCCGACTCCTGGTTCGAATCGACGGACACCCTCTTGGTCGCACTGCCTTCTGTTGAAGTCCAGGTGAATGTTAGTGAGCCGCTGAGCCACCTCCGGAGCCCCATCGATGACGGTGCGCTAATTTTCCGGCAGTGACGCACGCGGTAAGCTAGCAGAGGGTCGTTCGATGTCCGGCCCGGGCTCTGACCTGATCACCGACAAGCTAGATTTTACGAGGAAGAGACGAGAAGGTACACCGTAAGCTTCGACTCACAACGTTTCTGACCAGAACGCAGCGAAGAAATTTGCTTGCACCACTGAACAAAGAAAGCATGCATGGACGTCACGGGAGCAATACGAGGAGGGACAGAATTGAGGGAGAGAACATTTCGGACCGACGGGGAGGGATATCGTCAGGAGATCGAATTGACATCTAATGTCAACACCCCCGTTGATAAATTACTCGGGGTGCCGAGTCACGCGCTCCGGCCAATACCGCACCCGGCCGACCCCAATCTCTCAGTGGTGCGGGGCTTAGCTATTTACTTTTTTCCTCAGCTTGCGCTTCGGTCGGGCACGAACGCGAGAGACCGCGTGAGAGACTTCGATATTAGAGAGCCATCCGATATCACAAAACAGTTCGCATACGCTGCGTCGCCTCTATTCATGGGAACATGATAATCGGCTAGTCGAATGAGATGGTTCTGCTGCCGACAAGGTCCCAGAAGTCTACGTCTATACTTCCTCGGAAAACGCTGTCGATATCGAAACGGATTCTCGGAAGGTTTCATCTAAGCGCCGGGCCGTAATCAGTTGTTTATTTCGACGCGAAAAACCCGCTAAGCAATCGCCCGACGATCGACCCATGGATGATCTTCCGCCCACAGGAGAGGGAGCCTGTTGGATCGAGACAAGTGGTCACACCGGGGAAGCCCCGCAACGGAGTCGATCCGGCGGTTTCGCGGAGACTTTAGACGTCTAATCCATAGGTCGAAGATTTGACTTGGGGTATCTACTCTTGTTGACGTCAAAAGGGCGAGTCTAATCCAAGCCGGCTTCCGATATTCGACACCACGGCACGGTGCCAGAGAAATCGTTGAGCTCGATTGGAACGCTTTGGAGTTGAGTTCGGATTTCAAGAACTCGAGGAGCACTCAGTCGGCCTCACGCGGGCGCTCAAGTGCCATCGGGTTCGCGACGTATGGCTCAGAAGCAGGGACAAGCGGTCGAGAGAATTCCCTCCTTGAGATCGGATTGAAAGATGAGAGCGCAAATCGAAGCACTCCAAGCTTAGCTGAGATCAAGGAAGCTCCGGGAACTTTCGAAAATAAAAATAAGTTCCAATCCCGAGTCTCCAGCACGTCTCGAGCTCACGCAAAGAGCTACCCAACACGTTCAAGCCAGGAAATCGTAATCGACCGTCAAAAGTACGCTCCTTGGATGCGGAGCGTCATGCGAATCCTAACCAGAAAACATCCGATGGCTTCAGACGGCGGATGTCTCGCGAGGGTCGACAGGAAGACCTCGGGCGGAAGGGACAAGAGAACTTTCCTCGAAGCAACAAGATCCCTACCGTGAATTCGATCGAATCCACGGTCGATAGGAAAACCCTTCCTGATCTTGAAATTATCGTTGCAACGCGGATCGCGCGTGATTCCGGTATTGAGCTGATCGCTGTCATTATCCGCATATTAGTCTTAGAGCGGGCAAAACTCTGCCGGCCTCTGCGATGACTCGACTGCAACAATATAAGCAAAGGTGCACGGGAGACCATCTGAGTTGCGAGGAGATTTTCGGTCGATAAGTGATCGCATTTACGAGCTAATCTCCATTGTCGAGGGATCACGAACTGGCACGTGGAGTCGAATGTGGACGAATTTTCCGTGGGTTCCTTCCGGCACGAATGAGTTTAAGTCGCTCAACATGAAGACGATGTTGACCGTCAATAGAGCCGGACGAGGAGCAACCGACTGCATCCCGAAAGCGGCTTCATGTTGGGCGGAAGACGACTTCAGATTGCTTTTCTTCTGAGAGACTCACTTACGTCACCCGAAAGAATTCACACACACACACATCCTGACGCCACGTAGGGAAACACAGGAGTGTGTCGACTTCGCTGAGATGAGGATCGATGCCGACAAGTCGGATTTCCGGATGATCCGCGGACTTCAGCTCGGAAACGGCCCCGTCTCCAGCAGAAAAATAAACTGCGGTACGCACATCTTTCGCGGTTCCCCAGCATTCGAATACGACGTTACCTCTTCGCAAAACGCACACCTTCAAGAACTTTTGGACCCGAAGATCTCGTCTAGATCTCCAGAGGCTGCAGGAGTCAGCTGAACAAGGGACCTAGACCTAATTACGATCGTCGGAGAATGATCCCGCCTTGGATGTGGTTTCAGCTGATGGGAAAGAACACATCGGGTGTTAATTCCACGTTGACTCACGCATTATCGGCGGGGGAGAAGACGGCGGAGTTGTTGACTCCATGTTCCTTGATCCGAGCCGAGACTTTCGACGAGAACTAGAGAAGAACTACGCGCTGTGTCGTTGAGCGAATGACCAGCTCCACCTGTCCATTTCAAAGGAGGAAACCGCATCAGCGTCCGGCTGCCTGATTTTCGCTCTTGACTCGATGCCGCGAGAGCTACGCTCTCTCTTAAAGTCACAGCGGATTAGAGTTTCGCGCAGCCAACGACTTCATTGGAGCCGCCTTGGCTCGCTACCGGCACCGCGAGGTGGGTGGGGCGGGCGGCGAGAGTGGCGCCTTCCCAACGGACCACATGGCCGATACTCGAGGCTTTGGAAATAAATCCGCTCCTTACGCCGAGGAATTCCATTCCGAGGATGGAAACTGTATCTAGACCACTCGAAGGTAAGAATCACGTCACACATCGAATATCGAGAGCCAACATCGTACCACCTTGCGGCCGTAACGTCACATGGCCTGTAGTGGCCTCCAGCGGCTGAGACCGATGCTCGCGTCGATTTTCGGAGCGAGCCGATCCATAAGAAGAACCCCATGATAATCCAGCCCCTCCCCTGCGCACCGGAACGATTCGGGTTTCCGAAGGGCCGGAAAAAAAACGGCTCCTGAATCCTCAGGTTGGGACAGTGGGGCAAAAGACTCCAGCCGGCCGAATCAAGGATTCGAATTCGAAAACCAAATATGAAACGGAAATCCTACCTCCAGTAATTGGCGGATAATCCTATTTTGTTAAGGTACACATGGCGAACGAGCACGTAACGAAGATCGTCTTCGAAATTCCTCCCCTCTCGGACAGCCCACCACCGAGCGCTGTCAAATGCTGATCGCTAACAGACCCTCCGAGCCGTCGTCGTGCCACACCACCTCAGCAGCAGTGCACGGGGCAGTGCGCACCCCGACGTTGAAATCTACCGCGCCGTTATTTCAAATATTGGGAATTCCGTTTCGCGTGAGCGGTAAGGACGCCCGACCCCACTTCGTACCCCCTGAGCTCTTCGGGTCCGAAACTGATCGATTCAAACTCACGGCTGGACGAGTCACTATATTTTCGAGAGGATCGATGGCGCTGCTGGTTACCGCGGCGCGAAGCTTCAAAAACTTCAGCGCCTCGATTCACGTTCAACAGGCAGACGGGTATTTCGGTTCTCATGGATCGAGTCGAGGGGGAATTCCCGGATGAGGAAGATTATCATGGGCGAAATGGAGGCAGTGCGTCCTTGCTCATGTTTTTCTCTGCGGAAATAGTATGAGTAGGGATCAGGCGTAGAATTATAATGACCGAGAGGAAATCATAGCCAAGTTGTGAAGTGCATCAACAGCGGTTTGCGGTCCACACTGGTCTCCGTCGATGCACGTCCGTGAGTCATTCGGTAAAGATTGGCGGGCATAGTATCAACTCGAGAGCGGAGGAGGGAAATTAGCTAGCGATCGAGCATCGCGCCCCATCTTACATAGTTTATTGGAAAAATCGACGGCTCTTCCTCAGAACGGACTTTCTCCGTAGAGAATGTTCTTCGTGTAATCTGAGCTCAGTCGCGACGGATACGATTGCTCTCGTCATCCGAGAGGCTTCTCGGGAGGGAAAGCGGAGAGAACGAGCAATCATCCGCATATCGTGCGCCGGAATTATTCGCTGTCACGCTCATCGGGATGACTCCAGGAGCGGAAACACTGGAGATATTCCTCAGCTAATGAAACCAAATAGCGATGTCGCTGTCTTGCACGTCGCGATACGACGACAGCGACATCGAAACGTGCGAAGTGTTCAATAATAGCCCTTGCTTCTGGGTCAGCAGATTTCACTTGTACGCCACGCAGGCAAAAAACGTGCCGACATACAAAACGAGCTCAATTCGCCAAAACGTGAGTGCATTTGTTTATTCTGGCAAAGGGGGGAGGAAATCCCGAGGTGTCGAGGAGGTACACCCGACCCTGGGCTGGATATTTCCATTTGATGAGAGTTCATTCCGGATGTTCTCATGGCGGATAAGCAAGAGAAGGAAATGTGGGTCTCTTCTCGCGTAAGCTTTCGCATTACGTCCCGGTGAAATAGGGTCGGCAGTACATGCTCCGAGTCAATGATGGAGAGTTGAAGGCGTCGCTACTCCGCTCATAATCATTTTCCCGTATTTTTGTTGCATTCGGCCTAGTCACGTTTTTTTGAGTTTTCATGACTCTGGAAATCAATTCGATGAATTCGACGTGGACTCTTCCCGAAAGCCTGTTCCGCCTATGAGGTCAATCCCTTTACTCCAACAGGAGTCCTCGCGATCCAAGAGTAAGGATGTCCACTGCGGAAGTAATTCAGTGTGCGAACTGCACCTTCACCACACTCACTCAGAAGGGACTCACGATCCACCTGAGGAAAATGCATCAGATCGTCTCCCATGACCGTAAGCCTCGAAGAACCCAAAACCGGAGACAAGGGATTCGTCTCGCGAACTGCAGCATGAGCGCGAAATCATGGGGTCTTCCCTTCGTCTGCGTGATCTGCGGATACCGAACAGCCGAGAAATCGGTCATCAAGGAACACGTCGATAAAAGTGAGTGTACGCGCATTGTCACCAACAATCTTCGTCCAGCTTTACGAAGGAGCCGGGCCAGCATTCGCCAGCTCCCTGATTCGAGCTCTTCTGCGAGGAGCAACCCATGGACGGTAGGCTTGAAGTCCTCCCAAGCCCCATCTACCGTAGTTACTCTAATGTGTTCCCTTCGAACATCTAGATCATGGCAGAGTGGAGGAATATAAATACAATGGATCTCAGTTCGAGCCCACGTTCAACGCTTCTGTAGTACAGGCTGTCGGCTCGTCGTCCGGCCAGGATCGTTGTGTGGGACCTACTCGCTCGCCGCAGCTGTATCCGATCCGACAAGAGTTCAAGAAGATAATGAACTGTCAAAACATGGTCGTCGGTTATAGCAGGTAGGCAATCAAACCGATAGGGTCATGGTTTGCCCCTATATCGAAATCCCATCCTACCTAGGGCACCATACGTCGACGGGATGCTAATCCTCCTCGATGCTTCGTTTCAGTAAACCCAATATGACCGATATGATGCAACAGCCCTCGCCGCAGTATCAGTTTCATGGAGAGCTCGGTAAGTTTCTATGCTCTCCGAAAGACCATTCCACTGTCCTTGAATGGTTGCTCAACGGGGCTTTTTGCATTCGGGGGCTGGCCGCAAAGGGTTGACGTATCTAGTCACATAGACATGAGCAACGAGCTCAAAGTCGGTTAAAAACTCTTTCCAGAACAAAGCTACCTGACGTGCCCTGCTGAAACCGCTTCGATCAACAAAGAAGAGACCTGTAGCGAAGGACCCGATGAAGAAGATGAAGACGTCACCCTATACGATGAATGAGCCACAGAGACCTCACTGTCGCGACTCCTTGTCGTCATGCAGCCCGACCCCAGACACGGATTCATTAGGTAGATATCCCCTCAATGTGGCCGCCTTCGATGGCACCGGATCCAGGACTCAAAGTTAGGTCGGGATCCTCGATAAGAGAGAGCAGATTCGAGCCACAGGCTTCCTTGAAAGAGAGCCGGTACTACATTATGAGCGTGTCAGTAAGGTTGTCTATTGGTTCGACACCGATGGAGCTATGAAAGACCTGTGTTCCGGATTCGAATTCTTCGTGGAAAGAATGAGCTCCAGTGGTGAGTGGTGAATAAGGGGCTCCTCCTCTCTTTGTCCGGAATCTGAGGCCGATGAGTGAAATAAAAACTCGTTTCGATTCTGGTAGAAAGTAGTGATTAGCGCAGAATCATTCTAGGCTAAGCCTTGACTAAGCTACGCGTGATCAACTGCGCGATCGCAGAATCCCTAGACGCCCTGTCAGAGTCCCAACACGGCGCGAGCTTCCGAAGTTCCGACGATACACGATTCAAAACACTCGATCATCCATCGGGGACTACACGATGCGATATTCGCCTCTCTGACTCCCTTCTCGATCGAGAGTTTTCCACCTGCACAGCTCGCCGTGGCGAATTATCTTCCTGAGCGGGCGAGACGACGAAACGGCCTACCACGTAGGCCTGACTTCGAAGGGAATTTTTTGTATAAACCTATGTCGAGTGGGAACATATCTCCCGCCCGGCTTGTCTTACCGGATTTTCTGCTGATATCTGATATCTCGAATCCAGGGAATTGTAGGTACCTGCCCACGATTCAATTCTAACAGGCGTCTGTCGGAGCTGTACCGTTTCATCTGTGCAGGGGCGTCCGCAAGGGGCGAGGGGTAGGGAGATTACAGTCGAACCCGCTTATATGAAAACCGCTCAAAATAGAAAACCGGATATAAGAGACCGATCTTGATTCCCCGATTTTTTCTCCATAGTGCTTCATGTTAAAAAAACCTCGCTTATAAGAATTGCGGGTACAAGAGGAAACCGGTTCAATATTCGCTCTGGAAAGGATCGTCTCCGCGCTGAATCATGGTATGGGCATCCGAGTCATACGAGAACGGACTTCTCAGGTTTTTCCATGGGAAACCCGTACCTCAGATATCAGAGAAACCGTATATAAGAGACCATTTTCAATTCCCCTAGAGGTCTCTTATAAGCGGGTTCGACTGTACAGCCTCCGCCTACCTAGCCCCCCTCTCCCCCGAGACGAATATGAAATTGGAGCGATCGAAACTCCTCCGATTTTTCGTCTGTCCAAGGATTAATCCCGAATCCGCGGCGTCGTTTGAGATTCGAGCTTCAGCCCCTGCGTACCGCAAGACTACTTCTGCTAGAGGGATGAAATTTTCGCCGCGAGAATCGCCGACTCGAGATCCGTGGTCAAGCGCTCCTACTCACCAGCTCGTGCAACGTTGTCCTTTCTCGGAGCATCATCACCCAGGCGATCCTGGACATACGGGGCTTCCTCTTGGTCCGATAACGAAGGAACTCAGAGCGGCTGACCTCGATCGATGTCGGTGAAACTTTACGGAGGTTCAGGTCTCCCATTTCCACTCTTTCTCACGGACGTGCGTCGACTCACTTTCAACGTAGGCAGTTCCAACACGCCTGCGAAATATGCGATGTGGCCGAGAAGCTCCGATCGATTGGACGCAGAACGGAAAATCGCGAGGAGGCACTGCAGCCCGAGATAGCCCAAGCCCATAAGGTGGAGTGAACGAAGATCCTATCGGCACTGGCATACGCTGAACTCATGCAACTATATGGTCCGAATGGCTAATGGAAGGGGCACTCCCATTATCTACGGAGAGACTGGGGGAGCAGAAGGGAGTATTCGTCCGTCAGAAGGGTCCAATATTTGCTAAATCATAATGGCATTCTCCCGAATTCTTAATCCTCCATTTCCATTGAAGAAGTGCCCTGCCAACACATGACGGATGCTCACCTGTCTCCATCCCCCCAGGCTTGCCTGTCCGATATGAAACCTCCCCTGATATTGGACTCCCGTCTGTCCGACGGAATCGAGAATTGAGTCGTTTCAGACGTATTAGGTACAGCCACAAGGTTCGGAATCCGGCGCAGCATTTCATCAAGAAATTCGAGACGTTTCTCGGCCCCGTATAGGCTTCTCACGGAGGATAGCCTGGGAATGCTGCGGAAGGCTCTTAGCGCGACCGCGTAAGATTAGCAGCTGAACTATCGTCAAACAGTGTTTCTTCGATGGAGGGTGTTCTCCCACCCCTACCCCATGCGTGTCCTTCTAACTCCTCTATCATTACCTGGCTTGACCTTCAACGAGAGGGTACCTCGGTGGATGTTTCTCTGATTCAACAGGGCACTCCTCGGTGAGCGTTTGAAACTTCGCATCCGAGGATTGTTCAGCAGCGAGTATCATGCAGGTCCCCAATATTTTCATTGCTGGAAAGCCCCCTTCTCCAGAGAAAGGTTTTCGCGTTTGATTCCGATGGTCCTCCTCTCATTTCGCCGAGCGAGCAATGGAGTGGCAGCGCTCACCCGGAACGAACGCCGCAAGCAGAGTATTATTCGCGTTTCGACCCTCCAAAGTCAATTTTTCTGGATTGAGCCATGAAAAAAAAATTCCGATCCTCTCTCGTTTTCTCCTGGATTGAGGCGTACCACAAACCACAACATACATGAAGCTGATTGCAAGCCATATGACTCTTAGACGCTCTCTCTAAATATCCTCTCCCGTCGCTGCTCCGATTCTGAGCGTGTGACCAGTATGCACGCCCTATGAGCAGTACCGCACCGAGAGGGGGGGCGAAGGGGCCATGCCTCCCCAAGAATCTACGTCAAGACGATGAAGTAAAGCAGCGGGTCGCCATTTTGTTCCCTTGGTGCCCGCAAATGTCGGTCTGGCCTCCTTAAACTCGCTTTGCCCCCCTTCCCCCGAAAAAAATTCTGGGGACGCCCCTGCCTATGAGTAAAATTTCCCCACATCGAGAGCGGTTTTCTCCGACCAGCGATTTCAAGATCAGATTAAGAATGCGAGACTAACTCGAAACTTGAGAGAATGCCTCGAGACAATGAACTTATCTTGTGATTACGGCGCGACGTTTGCAGTCGCCCCGTTGCGTCGAATCCCGCTAAGCTTCCGCAGCGACGGTCTAGTGAGAACGTATCTTTCGCGTCATACACCTTGGTAGGAATACGAATTCCGAACAGTCTCCGCCTTTGGAGAGTCGTCAGAGCATGCAGATGAGGAACGATACGAAATACGGAAAGGGGCTCTTGCATCCCACAAGCGACAAACCCGGGATACTCTATCGCAGAAATATCCAATTACGTTCCGCTCATTGAGCGATTCATCTGCATGACGTATGGAACGAATGAATTGGAAAACAAAGAAACGCATCTCGACTATACCATTATTCTACCTTCATCAATCCACATTCAAAATTCGAATTTTGGCGCCCAGGTTTGCGGAGTCCGCGCTCGCTCTGCGTCGTACCACATAGCACCAAGCTGTGGTTCCAAAAGCGATATCGCTCATGGCTTTACTATACGAGACTGTGGTACGTTCGCAACGCCTCGCCTGACGTCACTCTCGCCGACTCAGGCGAACTGTGGACATACAACAGCAGATCAGGGCAAACTTTTCGGTGATATACTTCTGGGTATTATGGCTGAGGACGGCCCTCAGTAACGATCTGTGCCAGGAAGTGAGTTGTCGCACGGATCGTGAAACTTCTTCTCGTCTGTTCTCGTAGGGTAAGCTCCGAGGTGACCTAGATATTTCATATGCTTCTCGTGCGTTCGCTGCTGTTAGCTCCGATGTTGCTTACTGCAGGGTAGGTTTCTAGTTCTCGAAAATTCTACCTGCTTAAACCTCCGTTCTGCGTTCCACATCGAAATGATGTACTTCTCCGATCGCTCGCATAGAAGAGGATGTTCGCCCGTCCTGGTCCAAGAGCGACGCTCGTTGCTACCCAATGTTCAGCGTAATCCTCCACCGCGTAGTCTCGAAGAATTCCGCTTTGTTATTGCTACTATTCAGTATCAACCACCAACTCGACGAGGCGACCTCCGCTGAAGTGTTTCGTCATTCATTCAAGAGCCAGAATCGCATGTGAGCTCAGTCAGCTGAAGGCTGTAGTGCTCGGGATGATCACCTATCGCCAGGGGGTGGGTTTCCATGAATACAAACAAGCTCCCGTGTCGATGTTGCTGCGACATTTTGTTTTTCTCGGCATTTCCTCGTCGGCAACATCACGACGCCGGCTCTCTCGTCACATAGACCTAGAATAATTCGACGATCCGTGAACTTTCCCGGAAGAAATGTGGTGTTAGTTGTGGGCGAGATGTGTCTCTTAAGTTTCGTAACGTTTCGTGGCGGAAGCGACCACCAATAGTGGTCGTCAAGTCTGTCAGTCGATAAAGTGACGCTTTCCTCGTCGCTAAGTCGGTGGATCGCTCGCCCCGTGAAGTTAAGGTGTGGAACAGACTGGCAGACTTTCTTGAATGCCTGCAATTTCTATCGTAACGAAAACTTGCGCGCGGTTGGATCGATGTTGCTGGCGGCGCCGAAAGTCGCGTATAGCCCAAGTAATGAGTCTTGCATGGGTTTTTCGCTCGAGATTGTTCTGCGTTTCGGCTTCGTTTCGTGAGTGAGGAGCTCCCGCGAGCGGATTCCTATTTGCTCAGGCGGAGACCGAGCTGCTCCTCATGGCGCCGTCATTCGCCTGCATCGGGCATTCGATTCTTTCATTTTCTCTTCAATTCATCTCCCTAGCGGGGTCCAGAGTCTAGGCGAGCATTTCTTCGCTCGAGTGCTGAACACGGAGAATAGAATGATTGACGACGATCTGGCCTTGAGTCACTCTGTCACGCACGCTTTATGCTCCCGTATGGCTCTCTCCACGAACACTAGCTGACTGAAATAATGTCTCTCCGCAGGTCTGCTCCAGAACCGATCGTGGCCTATCGTTCCGGACCTCGTTCCTCGACACTCGCCATTGAACTTGGCCTAATTTCCATGAAGAACAAATAATTCGCGTTTTACAAGGTTCACACAGAATAGAATCTACGACGACCGAAGCTCATCGGATCCACGACAGCTGCCTCAACAGTCATCTAGCTCCATTTTACTGGTAAATTTTGTCTAAAAATTGTTGGCCGAGGATTCTTCTTTGTTTGGGGGAAATCCGAAGCATTTCGAAGAAAAAGAAGCAACAATGTAGCTTCAACACAGGCACTGGACAAGTATACAGAGTTCCAGTTTCCGTTCAGATATTAGCGCGATTTCCCCGCGTTTGGAGCCGCTCGAGTCGGGGAAGTTTCGCTCCTCTTTTAGAATCATCGAGTTCCCTTCTAAGTCAATGCTTCCAAACTCGTCCGGCTTGAGAATCTCTAGCAGGTGATATATTTCCACAGAAACAATCAATCGATCGATGATCCATCCATCCCTCGACTGATCGATCATTAGACAGGTTCCCTGCTCGACGCTTATAAATAAAGTAGGCCACTAGCAGGGAAGATCTTGGCGGCGCTCCGCGAGGATACAGTTTCGAGGCTCTCTCGATACCACAGTTTCTGGAGATCCGCTAGCCGTGTACGGAGACTTCCGAACTTTTGAAAGACACAGCTCGACGTTCCTCCGACTTTCACTCCGAGAGCCTAACGTCACGCATCAAAATTCATTTCGGAACAGTAGATATGGCTAGAGACAGTTTGGACATGTCGGGGTCCGACTCGGACAGCTCGATTCTAGACAGCATACCCGACGGGTCGGTTCGTCTGGCATCGAATTTTCAAGGCCCGACGATCCACCTCTTGTGGAGAGCGACCTCTCACAAGTTCGAGGACAGAATCATTCCGCTAAGTAAACCGGCTAAAGTTGGCCGCTCCGTCGCCAAACTGAAACCTTGTCCGCACAACGCTATTTTCGACTGTAAAGTTCTGTCACGGAACCATGCGATGATTTGGTTCGAAAACGACAAGTTCTATATCCAAGATACGCAAAGCTCAAACGGAACATTCGTCAACAATGAACGATTGTCGAAAGGCTCCGAGGAATCGCTGCGAAGGGAGATCTACTCCGGGGACGTGCTGCAGTTTGGGGTCGACGTCATTGAGAATTCGAAGAAAGTCACACACGGTTGTATTATCGCGTTAGCGAAGCTTTTCCTGGCCGACGGTACCGAGGTCAAAGCGGAAAATGGTTCCAGTGATCGTGCTCTCAGCAAGCTCTCTGTCAGCCAGAGCTGCGCCTTGGTTCAAGCGTTGAGCAATGCCGAGCAGCGGGAATCGATGGTCAAGGACAAGATCGTCGCTCTTCAGGACGTTTTCGAAAAAATCGGCAAGGCCACCGAAAACTCGTGGCAGTCTATCATCGACGAGGAGCGACTTCTCAACAAGATCCAAGCCCTCGAGGCTCAATTGGCTGCGACGGCAGAGAACAACAACAGTGCCGAAATCAAACGTCTCATCAATGAGAAGGAAGTGTACGAGAAATTAGCAAAAGAGTCACTTAGCAAAGTTTTACAGGAAAAGTTGACTGCCTTGCGAAAAGTCGACGAATTGCAGTTCCTATTGAAAACCACTCAAGATAACGTGTACAAAGCACAGGAGACTAACCAGCTCCTGTCGACGCAAGTCAAAGACCTAGCTGAGAAAGTAGACTCCATGACAGAAGAAGCCAGTAGTCTCACCGAGACTCACTCGCAGGAGAAAGCTGCGCTTTCTCTAGAGATATCGGATCTCCAGAAGGAACTCCAGACCCTGCAGCATAACGTCTCGACGTTGGAGGAGGAGCTGGAGAAAGCGCGTCGGAAACACGAATCTCCGATCAGCGAAAAGGGTCTCATAATCGAGAATGCCGTGAGCGAGGCCGAGGACAAAATATCCCTTGATTCCTCGCAGGGCGAGACGAAAAGCAACAAGGAAGAGGTCATCCGACTCGAGGAAATCGTCAACCAGCTCAAAGACAATCAGACGAAGCTCGAGAGTGAGAAGGAGGAATTACTCGACAACATGTCCGACTATAAGAGGACGTTGGACAGGGTGCAAAGCGATCTCGACGGGAAGAAGGAGTTATCGATTCAGTTGCAGATGTTCCAAAGAGAAAACGCTCGCCTCGAGGTAGAGCTCACCAAAGCTAAAGCCGCTCCCAGCCAGCAGCTCGAAGATCTGAAGCGAGAGAATTTCCTGCTAAGAGAGAAGCTCGCCGACGCAACTTCGCCATCGCTCCGTCAGCGTCGATCGAGCCCAGACGCCGAGAAACTGAAACAGATCCGCAGTTTGCAGATAGAGCTTAGCGATGTGAAAGAACGTTTTCAGAAGTGCCAAGATGAGAAACTCGAGATGCGACGCGAGTTCGACGATCTGGCTAAGGAGTACAACGGCTTCGCTCGACAACTCAGCACTGCGTGTCGAAATTCGATGATTCCGTTGTTCTTGATCATTGTCGCGGCTATTCTAGTTAGCAGACCTTTCAGCGAAGTTTTTGGTAGATCACCGTGAATGACTGTCGTCGGCGGATCGGGAATGACTATCCAAACTGTCTCAGTGCCTAACTTACTTTCGGTCATATCTCAAAGATACTTATCCGAAGGGGTGAATTCAAGCATCGTTCCGAAGTGCTGGCGAGCTGTCATTAGCCGACGCGACCCCAACGGCCGGGGAGGAAGCAACTTGTGACAGCTCGAAAATAACTTTGCCAAACTTAGCAAGATCTAAGTCTTGCAGAAGTTATCGAATGAACTTCTGTTGCCCCTCCTCGCTTGGTTCTCGCTCGCTGGTTCGAGTAAATTGGGAGTAGTACACCGATACTTTGTGCCAAAGACTACCTGCGGTATTTCATCGGGAAACTGATCTATCGCATCCGAAAGTATTTTTTCTGGCGGCTTCCTATTCCTCCCAGTCTCGCATAGAGTATGAGACGATGTAGATATTCGAGAGCGAGGTAGTTTCGCTCCAATCGTGCAGTTTGAGTGAGGACTCACCCATACCTCACTGGCCACCTAGAGCCTCCGTTCATCGATTCGGTGCGTGCCCGTCGCGTCGGGACGAATTACCGACTTCTTGTCGCAGCGAGTCGGCCGGTGGCGCGTGAAGGGGATTTCACAGAGAGTGTACAGTTTTATTCATAAGGTAACGAACGGAGATAGTGAAATATTCTGTTAACGTCTGTTAAAATAAATTAAGGAATTTACATGCAGATGGGTGTACTGCTCCTGCTGCCGACGCCGCCTTCGCTCACGCCGCCGTCATCCTCCTAATCGCTCGGGGATAGCTGTCAAATTCGGGTTGTACACTGACTGACTGACTGATTGACCGACGGAACGGCGAGCGAAGGAACTTGAGGGGACGGGCAGCGTTGACCCGCGGTCGGCTCGCCTTTGGGCCCGTAATCCTCGATCGGTATCTTCGCCTTGAACTCATCGTTCACCGGTTTCCTCTCCACCTTCCCTGTTGCGACTGGAACGTCTCGCGAAGGATCCGTGAAATCTCCTCTGGAGGATCCAAGTCCGTCCCTTCGATGTTTCCGCGCCTCCAGAGTCCATTTCCTTCCCTGGCTATTCAGACCAGTTAGCGGTACGCAAGACCAAGTTGCGCAAGCGGTCAGAAACAAGCGTCTGGCATGATTGATTCGGATTTGGAAAGTCTCCGAGACCCGGAAGACTGTGAAGATGTTCTTCCGTCGCGTTTCAAGCCTTCATGATAGGTAGAATTTAAAAAATCTCCAACCGATGCAGTTTCTGAACCCTCACCCATTTTGATCTGGTTGAATAGTTCGACCGCCCTGGGAGTGTAGGACGAGTCGGATCGTCTTCTGAGATGTGCCACGAACGGACACTCAGGTCCGATTATTTTCACCGCGTCTCATTTTTAGATTCGATCATCATGGTTTTCAAGATCCAGGTTTCCCTTTGAACGTAGGCGGCTATGGAGACCATCTATTTTGCAGCTGTGTGCTACTTATTAGGCAAGCGGCTGATTGTGGCCTCAAAGAATGTCAGGACTCGCATTCATCCTCGCTACCGTATCACCTCGGTTAAATCTCCGCAGCACCTAGGCTCCCGGATGCTGATCGGCGCGAACGAATATCCTGTGTTTTGCGAACGGAACATCAAGCTATTCAGTCCTTGTATGAAATAGGATTTCCTGTCTTCTTTCGAATATCGGATGGAGAATCCGGCATCAATGATCCGGCCGAGCAATGATCGCTGTTTCGTGGGAAAAGCAGATAATGGAGTTGGAAGTGCTCCGTTCTCAGCATACTGTCTCTCCCTCGATCGCGATTCATATTGGGAAATTGGACTTAACTCGTTTCCGTCCGTAGTCCGGAAGTATGGAAAACCCCGATTTTCCATATATGTAGGTGTGGCTTTCTGCATCCGGTGTCACTGATACAATTACAAGGTAGCTATTTGTCGCGATAGATGCCCCGTCTCGTGGAGATTCGACTCCGGAAATCAATCTTCCGACTCTCCAGCCCCTGGAGCGCACGTCCCTGGGCTTGCTTCTGCTTTCTCGGGAGAAGTCTTCATTTTGTTTCGTGAACGCGCGCAGCACCGACGAAGGATGTGTCTACCGGAAGCTCTGATCACTGCCGGAGATTATTGGACAAAATTATGATTAGCGTGTCATCTATGAGTCTACGATCGGCAGCAACGTTAAGGGAACGGACCGGCTCCGCGGCAGATTCGCTCGCAGGAGCCGGTCCGAACTCGCGATCGATTTGAAATTCAGTCCAGAATCAAAGAGGCACCTTACTAGCGGGAACATATGTATAGAGATACATTATCAACGGCTTCGGGGAAGTTGCTCTGCTGCATAGGGCGCGAACCCGAAGCTGGCACCCGAGCGGAGATTCCCGTGACGTGAAAAGCGAAGAATGATCTTGTCCGAAATCGAAGATAATTTAGATGCTATCGAGATCTCGGAACCGTATCATAGATTTCCTTAGACCCGTCGTTCCTAGTCACTGGAGACTGAAGGAGTTCTCTTCGCGGATATTACGTTGACGCTTCTCGCAACTTTATTCGACTAACAAGGACCGAGAAACGGGCGTGTCCGATCTTCCAGAGAGTGGCCCAGGAATAGAAGTCGCAGCAGTCGAATTATTCATTTATTCTTATCGGTTTCGAATCCGCCGCTGAACCTCACAGAGGAAGGCTATCTCGAGAACCGCACCGAATTAGATCGTGATACCCGTGAAGCCATTGGAGGGTTCGACGGTGGAAGGGGCAAGCCACTGAGAGATCGTTCCTTTTGGAGAAGTCCCGCAATCGCTCAGCGGTAGACGTCAGCTATAGGCTCTATCGCCAGAAACTGGGCCTGGGTGGAGGAGCGCAAAGAAGCGGTTCCCATATAAATGCGACCAGGAGTGTGCCGAGGGCAGGGGCCGAGGAGGCTATCTCATCAAAAGGTCGGACTCCCCCGTCTCTATGCTGAGGCTAATGCCTCCGACGCGACATTCTTTCGAAGCCTTGCCCACCGCTACCAGGATTTGACTCGGTTACCCCTGACCGAGCTCGAGAAGAAACGAACCAGGCTCAAGACTTCAGAATAGCTCTATAGCCGATTCAAGCACTCCCAGCATCTCGCTCTCCAACACGATCCAATTCAATGATTGGGCTATATCTCTTACACAAGTGGAATATAGTGAGGATCACCGGACTTTCATTCCGCACTCTGTGCAATGCAGGACTCTGAGCGGAGATTCTCTCTGATCGCTTCCAACGCGATCCACCGTGAATTTGCTCCGAGGCTCCTGTGACTCGGTGGTCTTTTTCGAAAGCATCCGGGCCTCTCACCATGAATCGTGTCGCTTGTCCGCGATTCCAGTTTCTCCTGAGGAGCCCACCTGGTCCGACCAGGTGCGGGCGTTTCCACCATATTTCATTCTTTCCAATCAGAATCGATCCCGACTAAGTTCAAACATATTCCTCGCACATCGTTTATTCTCGTTGCTGGAACCCAATCTTCTCAGCGCCATCATGACCTGCCTTGAACTCTTGTGCCGAACGCTCGTGCCGCTGAAGACAAATCGTGACTTTCCCCGTAAAGAGCGCTATCTTGACCTATACCTCTTCCATAACATGTCGTGTTGGAACTTTCTCCCTCAGGTCTCCCCCAGAACGATTCTTCAAGCATAAGAACTCGATATTGAGCACGGCCCGCTAATCGACCGAAGGGAATTCCTTCTGCTCTCTAGCTACAACGGCGTACATTTTGATTGCAGGTGAAACAGCGATCATGTCGATCATAATCCGACTTCAAAATCTCCCTTGGGAAGCCAACTCGCAAGACATACGTCGCTTTTTCCTCAACCTTTCGATTCCCGAAGGAGGAGTCCACATTGTTGGGGGGGATAGGGGCGATGCCTTCATCGCATTCTCTTCCGATGAAGACGCTCGACAGGCCATGGCGCGAGACAATCAAGAAATCAAAGGGATAAAAGTCAGACTATTCTTGAGTTCTCGGAGCGAAATGGCCAAGACGGTTGAGCAAGCACGACAAGCCCATCAAGCGCTGATGGCGAAACCGGTCGCCGTCCCGGTGGTGGCGAAACCAGAGGATCCCAAAGTTCCCTCTGCCAAAGTCGAAGAGAGGAAACGTTCTCGCAGCCGATCTCGGGAAAGGAGACGATCTCGATCGAAGGAACGAAAAAGAGATCGATCTCGTGACCGGAAACGTTCTCGCTCCCGTTCGCGGTCCCGAACTCGGAACCGGCGCGGCCGGCGATCCCGATCCCGGTCCCGGTCGAAGGATCGGCGTGACGGCAGGCCAGGACGCAAGCTGTCTACCAAAGATACGGAGCTTAACAACAATGGAAACAACAGCAATAGCATGAACGGTCCCTCGAATGATAGCGAGCCCCCTATTTGGGAACCGGGAATGCAGCCCGGTGCCCTGACGGCCCCCCCGGCCGCGATCCCGTTCGTCGGCTACCCCATAGGGGTTCCACCCGGTCTGACACAGATTCTCCAGGGAATCCAGACAGGCTTGCCGGTAAATCCGCTAGCGATTGCGGCCTTGGCGCAAACGACAGCGCTCCAGGACCCAGTTCCTGCCATACCGAAACCACCGCCAGAATTGCTGGCGCCTGTAACCGGGATTCCCGCGCTCAAGTTACCTCCGATGCCCAACATTGCTGGCATAAAAGCACCCCTTTTGCCAACTCCTGAGCCACCAGCCAGAAAAGCAACACCCCCTCCCTCCAGCAGTTTACCCGTGTTTCCAGTGTTCAAAAATACGCTGACCAATGGAAACGGAACGGAACCGAAGTTCGTGTTCAAAATTTTGGGACTGAACGAGCTCCCAAATTATAATGATGTCCGGCATTTCTTTTTCGGTGTCTGTTTGCCGCCAGGAGCGGTGAAGGTCCTCTGGGACGGACCTTATCCGACGCTTTTTGTGAGCGTTAAAAATTCGCATGACGGAAACCTCGTGTCGAGTTTGAGCGGTGAAATGCTGGGGAGGAGTAGGTTGAAGATTGAAGCTTGTGACAAAATCGAGTTCCAGAAAGGGGAAGACTTCTATGTTGGCACTCCACTTCAAGCAGAATCCGTGAGGTTCAACCGCATCGGACGGGGGCTCATCTTGGGCGGCAGAGCGAAACCGGTAGATCAAGATCTCGTCGTTGTCGTGACCGGAGCGCCGTCAGACGTGACCGAGGGCGACGTTCGGATCTTTTTCGGTGGACTCCATCTCATCGAAGTATTCATCACAAACAGTCAATCACAGCTGAGCGGCACTTCTAGTCCATATTGTTTCGCGGTGCTCGCTTCGCTCAACGATCTCGAACTCGCCCTACGCTTCTGCGGTCATCGAATCAAGTCGAACGTCGTCGAGGTGCTCGTTGTGAACAAAAAGATCTTCGACGAAATCAAGACGCGAAATTCCAGGAAGAAATCCTCCGGCCGAGGGGAGAAGAGGGTCTCGAGATTCTCAAGCGCCGACGATCGCGTCGTCCCTGCGGTTTCCGCCGCAACGAAAGGCGATCTCGACCCGAGTAAAACGGTGCTGCTGATCGAAGGTCTCCCATACGATATCGTCGATCGACAAATTGGTGAAATGTGTCTGGGATCCGGCGTGAACTGTCGATCGATACACATTAGGCATGGCAACAACCCATCGCAAACGAGCTGTGCGTTTGTCGAGTGCAACACGGCTCAAGACGCTGCGACCGTCGCCTCGATCAACGGAAGAGATTTCTACGGCTACAAACTGAAAGTGCAGACGGTCACGCCGTTGTTCATGCATAATATGATGCGAATAAGCTCGGTAGCACCTCCACACGGTATGCAAGCCAATCGGCCCGCATTCGACGGGGACGGGCCGATGGGACCTGGAGCGCCGTTCAGGCCCCGCGGCCGTGGAAGCGGCCGTCCGGGAATGCGGTACCCGATGATGCCGAATGGCATGTCCAACAGGTTTCCGGCGGGACGCAATGGAGGGTCGATGCCGAGCATGAAGCCGGATGTTCCAGAACCACCAATTCTGTCCGCGGCAGATCCGTTCGCGAATTCTCGATGCGTCGTGGCGATTTGCAACCTCAATTATTCGGCCGGAGTCGATGATTTGATAAACGTGTTCAAGGACTACAATATCAGGAAAGATCTGATCATGAGACGGTATGTTCGCTTCTACACATCGAACTCGCAAAGTTGGGCCATAACTACCAGAGCGCGGCTTCTTCAAACCTCGCGAGAACGATGTTTTCTGAGACTCTCCGCTTATCTTCCAGGTACAACGAGCAGAACCAACCTACCGGCGATGCCCGCGTGGCTTTCGCAAGCCCCCAAGAAGCTGCGGAAGCCGTGCAGCGATTCAACGGAACACTATTGCTCGGAAGAGCTCTTCGCCTTTCGCTCCTTGGTTGAGCTATAATGGAAAATTATCAAAATATTTCTATGGTAGAATCGCTCAATGAGACTTAGCCGTACCGAGTTGCCGGTTCTACTCATCATCTTTTTCACAGCTGTATTTGAGAGATCATGATAAAGATTCATCTACATACTGTAATGATGCGCATTTTCTCACCAATATTAGTTTTAGTGCTTCAGTAATGTTCATGACGGCGAGATAATCTTCGGTATCGCGCGACGGACTCGGTCTCGGTCGCCGCGCGTACTCATCATGCACCAGATAACTTATTCACAACAACTATCGAATTCGACCCCGAGGCGGCGACGACTGATCTCATCGTCCGCGGCGGGATGGTCTAGAGCTCCCTCGACTTGGCGTTGTGAGTTGTGAGCGGTGATCGACTTCGCTGAAATCTTTCTGAATTCGAAGAAGTCTCTTGGAATTACTGCTTCGAGAGATCGGTATCAATCTCTTCACCGATTCTTTCCGAGTGGTCGATATCTCGAAGGCATCATTATTCCGGGAATATTGAACCGAAACCTCATGCTCCGAACTTATAAGAATCTGCGCTCCGGAAGTGTACGGATTCGCGTCATGGAGCCAAGTCCTCTCGACACGATACCCGAGGTATCGCGGAGAGCTCTCCGTGAATTCTTTCCGTCAAGCACGGGAGGATTTTGGATCATCTCTGCGCAAGGAGTTCTGGGAGCAATCGCCTGATTAGATCATTTTCTGAGCGTGCCTAGGCCACGCGCCGTTACGAGATCTGCGAAAATTCCGGGTCCTTTGTGCTCAGATTGGCCCATAGTTGGCGAAGGAATCCAGATCGAGAGTCTCGACACGAGACTTCATGTCGGAAGCTCCGGGGAGGAAAAAGCGAAAACAGCATGCATGTCTATTTTCGCCGGAGGATTGTCTCGATTGTGACAGCTTCCCGCTCTAACAGGAGAGCCTGCTCTGATCGCTCGCGTGAGGAATCCGAAATCCTATTTAAAGCTACCGCACTTTATTCCCGATTTTTCGGGGGGAGACTTCAAGGTTGGTCCGGAGCGGCTGGGGGAAGGCTCAGGGTCTTATTTAGCGTCTCGCCATATTTCAAGTAATATTCAGCCCATATCGAGAGTATTTGATCGTGTGAAGTTCAGACTCTTTACACCTGGCAGCCCATGATAGACTCTATCGGAGATTTTCACCAAGTGAGCTCCAACAAGGAGAGCTTCTTGGATGCGCTACATGGTTACATAGCGAAGAATGCCTCATTGACATGATAAACATGATTAAGCTGATTCGGGGCAATTGAGAGGCGAGAGTATCCTCTACTCTCCATTTCTTCGATGAGCCGCTTCCTCTTTGCTCGAACGAGCGATCAAGAATCGAGACGGATCTTGAACTTCTGATAGACTGATTGGCCAAAGCTGCATAGGCCAAAAAAATGATCCCGGCGGGCCAGTCCGGCCCGTTGGCCCGCGATTCTACCCCCCTGTCCTAGACAACCTACGACTGCGGCAACTAGAAATCAACTTCAATAGTGGGAATGACGGCGTACACATCATGACGAGCATCCGTTTCAAGAGAAAGTCCCCGGAAAAAAATGATCGTGACGATGAGCATCCGGGTTGGAGAGGGCGAATCCTTCGAGCTCGATTCGGGGACTCGATGCAGGACTTTTCTGAAGGGAAGCGGAGCTACAAGATCATCGAGATGATTCAGATAACGGCGAAAGCTTCTCGGAGGGTTCGAGGGAGGGCTCTCCGTCACTCACTCAGTCCGCAATGAAGATGTGCTGCCGCTCTTCTCAAGATTTTCCCGGCTGCGTTCTGAGAGGCAACGTTCCAAATAACCCGAGTTGATGGGGACCCGAGCCAGCATATAGAGCTGTAGATGAAGATACCCTCACCCGAGTTTCGGCAACAATGGCGCTCTCTTATCATCTCATTTATAGTCTAATCTCACCCATGAGTGATTGCTCCAAATTCGAATTGAAAGTTTCGCAAGGAGCGACTGCCTGTAGACGAGGCCATTGTACACAATACATTGCCCACTTTGGTTGGAGAGTTTTGGCCGGCTGAGCGAGGTCCTGTACCGAAGGGAGAACGAATGTTGGTCCTTCTCTCATTGGGGCGAATATTTTATTACATGCTCAGGATCTGCTGTTCAAGGTCGTCGGTATTCACAATTGTGTTCATCTTATGTGCTTAACATCGGTTTGTTCGTTTTTCTTCTTACAAAATATCACGTATAGCATGTTATTATTCTTATATTAGTATCTTTATCATTATTAGCATTATCGTACCCTCGATTATCGCCTCTGACATCAGCCTGGCTTTTTCCAGGACACCACCTATCCGTCCACCTGGGGAGAATTCTCATGGCGACAATGACCTCACCAATATGAAAAGTATAAAATGCTTACAATCCATTGACACTCGATGAGTCGAATCGACTTATTCATACGATTCCATTAGGTTTCCTTCTCCTGCACCATATTGCATCGACCGGCCACTCGTTCCCTACACTGCTCGATGATCCGATCGAGAATTCACAGTGGAACAAATACCTCGTTGACCTACGGATTCTACCTACAAGGGTAAAAGAGTCAATCTAGCGAAAATTTCCTTCGAGGAGCTCCGCAACGTGATGCTTACAATGACTGCCTCAGACTAACCCGAGCTAAATGCTTGACAGCCTCCGACCCGAAGAATACAACCTTCATTAACATGAAATGTTCAGAGGAGCTGATCAATATACACCGAACGCGGATCGCGTCTCCGCGCTCGAGAGACTAGCCTGCGCGCATGGCTGGAGTATTTGCGTGACGCTTCAATGAATTACTTACAATTTAAAGCGTCAAAACGCGACGTTCGCTCGACAGCCAACTTTGGCGCGCCGCCTACCTCGGAAGAAATAATCGACAAACAAAACCGCGAAAAAAGGGCTCTCAGAGTTTGCGGCAATTCGTCGGAATTACAGTTTGTCCCTGAGAACCATTTCGTATACCTATACGTTCGATAACGTGCCCGAGTTGGCAATGCTCCCGGCAAGATCGAGTCTCGGCGCACTTCGCAGCGTCCCGAGCGATCCGTGTTTGTCTAGGTGCGGCGAAATCGGGTTGATATGAGGTCGATGGGGATTGGTGCCGCCGGCGAAGTATCTCCACCAGGAATTGAAAGTTTTGCTCGAGCACACCCAGAAGCCCGAAGTGATCCCAGCCACGAGGAACATGAAATGTTTCACGACGAAAATATGAAGAGAAGGCCGACTCCACATGGAGTCGTTGTGCTCGCAGGGACAAGTGAGTTTGTTCATCCAGACCTCTTTGTAGTGCCGCTCGTAGAAAAGACAACCGACCACAATCGTTGAGGGTAAGGCGTAGAGGACAGAGTAGACACCGATGCGTACGATGAGCCGCTCAAACTTCTCCGCCTTGTGTTGTCCTTGGGCTTTGATGATTTTACGGATTTTGAAAAGAGACGAGAACCCGATGAGCAGAAAGAAGACGCCGACGACCAGCGAAGCACAAAGCGGGATTATGAGGAACATGTTGAGGTTGAACGAGTTCTGACTGCCCACGAAACAGAGACCGGTCACCGAGTCGCCGTCGATCGCGTCGAAGTAAACTACCGTAGAGATGATCGCCGCTCCCGAAAGCCACGCGAACATGTGGAAGTACACGGAGTATCCCGAGATCGCTTCACTGCTCCATTTCAGGGCAGCGGAAAGGAACCAACTCATCGAGAGGATCACCCACCAAAGAGAACTCACAATTATGAAGTAGTACGTCAGGCTGAAAACCACTAAGCACGGCACGGAATTCACGAGATTCGAGAGTATCGAATAGCGAATAAGCGAGCCATCGCAGGCCAGCTGCTCGTTCCCCAAGTAGGTACCGAGAAGGTAGCCGAGCGATATAAAGAAGTAGCACATCGATATGTAGATGACTGGTCTCTCGGGATAGGGAAACCTCGACGAGTCGATCATACAGGATAAAATCGTCGTGCTCGACGAAATCAAACAAACCACACTCCACACAAGCAGCCAGTAATAAGTGAACAGTTGGTCGTCCTTGCTGAAGTACATGTTCCGGCAGGGCTGGGCGCAGCCCGGCAGCTTCTCCCGGACGAAAGACTTCTTGAACGAAGGAGCCAGCGTATTCACCATCGGTGGCGGACAGTAGCAAGGGCAGGTTCCGTTCCCGCTGTTTGAAGGCGGAAGCGGTGGCAGCGCCGGTGAGAGGACGTCGGTGATTGTCACTCCGGGCTCCGGTTTCTTCGGTGGTTCTCCTGTAATCAAGGGATAGAGAAGAACGTCATGGAGGACCACGTATAGGGAACAGTGTCGGGGATGGCGGTTGCGACGACGATTGATTGGAGTGTGTGGGAACCCAAGGAAAGGATATCAGAGACGCAATCGGGGAACCCGCGGTCAGTTCGCCGGCTCTGACCATGGATCATACTCCATCTATTCTCTTTGACAGATGGCGGACACTATCAAGACGATTCCTGATATTCCTGACATTTCCCATCCATCTGTTGAGATCCGTCATGGGCTTATGAGCGCCGAAATAGGGGGTTTCGTCCCTGTCGTACGCTGGCGCCGTGAGGTGAGGTCAATAATTCCCTCGGTCGGATCGCTCCGCGTGGAGCTTACGAAGGGCTCCAGGTTCTGAGAGCGGAATAAGCCCCGTCTGTTCAGTCAGTCGCCGGGGTCTTCCCAAATCGAATGTCATTAGGAGAGAAACACTCACCTTCTTTGGGATCCATGCACATGTTTTCCGGGTCCCCGTAATTCGGGAAAGGTTCACAATTGAGACGTTCGGGCCAAACGAAGCCTAATGACTGCATCAAGGGAGAGCAACCGACTCGGACTCGCTCGCAGAGTGTGCGACACGGGGGAACCCTGCCGTGGAAATCATCCATACAGATCGGCGTATAGATTGAGCAGAGGAACACCCGCAGCTCTTGCGAGCACTGCAGCTGTACAAGGGGCCAAAACTGATGGACCTCCAATCCGGCTTCGTCTTGCGTGTCCTACGGAAACGGGGTAGCGGAATGAGACGGCGGAAGAGCTCTCCCGAAGGGTCTCTCGGAACATGCGAACGAACGTATCCCGATTGCGACATAAGCCTCTTCTATTGCCCGTTACTCACGTGATTCAAACCGTTTGGGAAGCGCGTCCGGTTGTAGGCCACGCCCCGGCACATCGGAACGACAATTTCTTCGCAGCGTTCCTCGACGGATGCGACAAGCGTGACGAGGCTCGCGACGTAGATTAGTGAAATGAGCTCCATCTGAAAACGAATTGGTACCTCGGTAATTACGAGAAAGGACCTACAAAAAGAGCGTCGGAGAAGTCTCGCGATCTATGCGATCGCTCCTCTCGCAGACTCTTTGGATGATGAACAGCCAATCGGAGTCGGACCCGGAAAAGACGGAGCCGAGTTCGTTTCTTCTTCCCTCGAGGGCTCTGGCTTACTCTTGCTGGAGGATTCGAGCGAACAGCAGTGCAACGAGCATGCTCAGTATCCCCAGAGCTTCCTCTCCTATCAGAAGAAAAGCCCCTCCCGTCTCCGCGAGAAGAATTTCGTCAAAACGGAAAATTATTCGATCGCAACGTCGCGTTCCTTTGCATCGCGATTCAACACGTCGCTCTTCGGAAGACACAAGCACCTATCCACTTTTGGGAGCGGAGACTGTGAGGGTAAGAGCTGATCAACGGGCGGGAACTCTCTTCCCATCAACGAGACTTCACCTCCACGGGAAGACGTAATTAGCGGACGACTTCGAGCCAGCACCTACGCAAGCGAACGAACGATTCGGTTGCGAATTCTCCGGCTTCCATTACACGTCAAGCGACAATTGACGCCGTCGTCGGTCTGGTTTCAGGCAAAGTGCCATTCATTCCCGTGGCCACGGGCAAACCTCCACTCGCGATGGACGAGCGCAGCCAGAAGAGCTCGGATTCGCTCCTTCGCGGCTCTGTCCCAATGATCGGGATGAGCGCATTCTATCTGGTTCGATAGAGAGACCAGAGCGACCACGACGGATGATTCCGGGCAAACTCGGTGGCTGGCTGTCCTCGCGATTAGGCTCCTAATGGTTCGTCCTCTGATCGATGGAGGATTGGAAAGCAATCGCGGAGACAGCCTCGAGGGATTCCGCGGAGAAAATCCTACCGGAATGAATGACGTCAATCGATCACGCGGCTCGTGAATGGATCTTCATTCGACCATTCCAGAGACGAGCCTCAATTATCTATCAACAATAGCTTCATCTCCTCGACGTCCTTTGAGAATGCTTTGATCATCGTCAGACGTCCCGAAAATACGGAAGGAATACACTCGAGGAAGCGAGTTCGTCTGTCCGCTCGTTCCGTTGAATGGAATCGTCGCCTGATCCCCTGATGGTGTCGCGCATAAAAATTGTTCTTGAGAAGTACTGGGGAGGGAAAAACCGTCTCAGGCGACAAGCTCGGCCGCCGTAAGGTGCTCCCACGTCTTTGTCGTCATTGTGATCGTCAGCGACGACGCGCGGCGACGAGAGCGAGCCCTTTGCTGCGGCCCTGTTTCGTTTGGACGGTCCTCCTTTGGGGCACCACCTTAATCTCGGGTTCCGAGAGGACACTCGACCAAAATTTAAATTCAAATGTTAGTCTTCCCCGAAACCTCTCCGGTTTGCTCGGACAGATCCCATGACATTCCGCAGAACGTTCCCTACGCCTCGTCGTCGTCGTCGGATGAGCCCGACGTGTCTGCATTGCAAAATCACGTGTCCTTTCATTTCCCCTCCGCGATGCAAGAGACACAGCGGACGGATGAACCTAACGACGTACTGTCCCGTGTCTCCCTTCTGACAGATCGAAGAGACCGACACAACTTTCCTCTCCAGAGCGCTGCAGCTGTCTGCGGAGCATCTACATAGCCCGGGGTGAGAAACGCGGAGATGAGGCCGCGCAGGATCCGACGCGACGGATTCATATTTCCGTCCCCGGGTAGACGCCTAGTGATGTTGAGTACGGAAAGTTCACCATGGTACTGCTGTTCGTCTTGAATCCGAAAACGTTCGCCTTCGGGAACGATATCACCCTAAGCCCCAGACTCATTAGAGCACATGCAGAAGATCTCGACGGTCGGGAACTCTGCGACGCTCGCTATCTTCGTCGAGTTATCTCAAGGCGTGCTCTGCGACCTTTGTCTGAGATTACTGCAGCACTCGACTTGAATCGGATTGGCGATGCGCACCGTCGTTTTGTTCCCTCCAAACTCACTCAGAAAAGAAACGAAACGGAACGAACAGCAGACGGAAATTAAGCCGGCGCGCAAATCAAGTTTCACTTTGATTTGACGCAATCTCCGACAGAGAGAAGTAGAATTTCAGATGAGAGGAGCGGACTGGCTGGCTGACTGACTGACACTTGGCCTGAGGGTCCGCGTGCGTGCCTGCTCGCCTAGCTGACTTACTGACTGACAATACGATCCATCGGGGAGAAGAAAAGCGCGGCTGAGACGGGTGGCGGGAGGGCGACGACATCGACGAGAGCGACGTCCTTATCTGACTTTGATCTGACTGCGGACTGACTAGCAGGCAGTGAGAAAAGTTTTCCCGTCCAATCGCGGCTGGCTTCCGAAGAAGGATTACCTCTTCTTTGTTTTTCTCCCTGCGTGCTTGCTCTCTCCCCATCTTCCGTTTTCTTCCTTCCGTCGGTCGGACGCCCGGAGTCGTGGAGCCGCCGGCTGTAGAGTCGGCGAGCCATCATATTTTTGACAGCAGCATCAACTCGGTAAGCTTTCCTGATATACACATACATATATGCGGAGACCTCGCGTACGAGCGCGTAGGTCGCGCTTTTTCGGCATCTCACAGCGTGGTCCACTGCATTTTTTTCGCCCAAGTTCGCGGTGACGCACTCCGGTTAGGAGAAGCGTTAGTGTATCGAGAGCCAGGAGTCTCCCAGTCTTCTCCGGGAACGCTCCCCGGAACTTCCGAATCACAGAAGGCCGGTGGTGTATGCGTTCGCCTCCGAAGGCCTCGATCGATACACTCTCGGCTACTGCTTCTCCTTCCGCATCGGTCGCAAGCCACAGGTTGGTCATAAAAGTTCCGGCGGATATTTATATTTTTTCCTGTTCTGCCAACGTGTTCCGATTCCTCATATTCTCTGCGGTGCTCTCCCCTCTTCCGATGTTCAAAAATTGGAAAGTTTCTCGCCGTTGCGCTTCGCCTCCGCGTCGCTGGTCGTGCCCCCTCGACGTTTTGGGGCTACTCTGGAAATGCTCAATTCGGAGAGAAAGCAGTGCAGGAATTCGATAAACGATTACGTGGGACCTCCGATTCGCGGAAAAACCCTCCTCGCGAGCTTCTGTCGAACTGCGGTATTCGATCCTCTCAGTCATCGATCATATCTTCCTCAGGACTGTCGCAACGACTTCCATGCTGCGACCGAGCGAGATTCCATCAATGTGAATCCAGAAACGAAGATTCTCAACGTTTTTGGGTGTCGAGCTTCACCGCAACCCCTTCCTCCCGCTCCGTCTTCCCTCCTGATCGAGAAACGCAATTCGAGAGCTTCGAAGCTCAGAAACGATTGGGAACGGCTTGAAGCGTTTTCCATGTCCGCAGACACTGCTCGGCCGTGCGGCTTGGACGCCTGCAGGCGGATCCCTGATACGTGTTGATTAAGAGGGTGAGGAGACGCAGAAAATACCGGCTTACGATGATGAGGTCTTTGTTTTTCCCATCGGAGCGACAACGCGTTCATTGCGAGAGGCTCCGATCCGACCGCTGGAAGGGCCGCGACTCGCTAGTGGAGCGACGTTTCGAGGAGGGTTAGTCCCTCCCGCAAGTTGTACTTACGCCCAGTCTAGCGTGAGATCCTCTTCGACTTATTCAATAAACTCCACTGCGTTCCCTCAGCTTGTTCTTGCTTTGCCGCTACAAGCAAGCGAGCAAGCGCGTAGGAAAACATTGGGTACCGACCGACGAACGTGTGGACGACCTACACGACAAAGACCAGGGAAGTGTAGGAGAACAACAGGATTGTGAACGGTGACGACCGGGACGACAACAGCATACATGAATTCCTTGCATCCGTCGTTTTTCTTCCGGCTAGAACAAGAGTTACCCTGTTGGTCTCTGCGGTGACGACGTCGTCGATGACGGCTCCCTCCTCTACCGCTGGGCCGGCCGCGTGGGTACTCGGTCCGCGGGTTAGTGAAATATTTATAGTGGACATTCTATCGCCATGCGAAACGGCGCGGGTGTTGATTGGCAGAACAACAGCGGACGCTCCCGACACAATAGGCACGACCGCCGTTACCATCGCCATCATTCTCTCTGGGGACGATGCTCATCGTCTCCGGCGCTACGTAGTGATTCTTTGCTCGAATGTCACCAACGAACACTGACGATCCTCAAAGCCGCTCGCCCACCTCTCGTCCGTTCGATGGGGTTCTCGTCCTGGATCAAAGCCGCCGCCCCGTCCACGGCGGGGCTGCATGACACTCTAAGAACAAAGGCTTGCTATCTGTCTGCGCCTTCGCCAGTCTGCGCGAGGATAGCTGTGAACGAGTGAAAGAATCGATGGATGGACGAGCGAACGAACGGACCGACGGATGGATGAATAAGCCAATCAATGACTGTACGTGTTGGCAGGCCTCGTCGTCGTCCTCGCAAACGAGCTATCGGGCAAGTTACTCGACCCGCTGTAGGTTGTCTCCCGTTGGACTGATTCAGGTTTCCTACATTCTCTCGCTGTGTGCCGGTCTTTGCTTCTCTGTTTACGTCGGTCGGTCGTCGCGAACCTCATCAATAATTCCCTTCTCGTTGACTTGTACACTCGGAACGTCCGGCCGCTCCCTCTCTCCCCTATCCGGTGACTCAGTCGGGGGCTTTCCCTCGTGTCACCATAGCATCTTACTTTGCCTAGACAACCATTCCTCTTACCCTTGAGGTAGGCTGGAGCGCTCTCTCCGAACATCGACCAGGACCAAATAGAATTTGTAAATGCCTAACGGATCGGAGTGGGTCTCGCTCGAACACTTGTACGGAATCGCAGCCCATGTTCCCATTCCCCATGCGGAACTAATGGTGCGCAACCCGCGAAGATGCGGCTCATAGGCAGGGGGTGCGCCCATGCCGCAAATGTCGTGGCTAACGGAACTTGCGTTACAGAGATTCGTCGGCCTGAGGTCCGGTGTACAATACCGTTTGCGTACCGCTCTACTGAGGCTTCGTCGACGGAGGATT